CATTGTAACAGACCTGTATTTGTTGAGGTTTTGCCAAAAAGTCGAGTGTGGTGTCCGCAATTATATTCCACATAATTGGTCATTATTTTGAGTCGTGGGACACTCCTTTATAGTAATTCTTGCCAATGTTAATTCCATCATATTTGTAGGCGATCCTCCTGTTTTGAAGATAGCTATCAATAATTCTAAATGAATTATGTGGGAAGTTTAGATCCTTCAACCATGTTTTCAGTTCAATAGATCAAATAGTTCTATATGTTCTAATTTTGATTCCTTGAGAAGAAAGGTTAGTAATTTTAATGTCGATAGATTCAAAGGCGCTGGAGAAAAACAGATATAAAGATCAAATTCGGGATAAAATAGTTTATGAAAAAATATGTTCGGTTTAGCTTTACATAGAGAAAAAGAGGATATTACATGTCATTTGAATGAGTCAAATCTTTTCAAAGCCTGTGGGGGCTTGATACATAGATGGATATTGTTTTGTAAGGAAAGGCTTCTTTATGTTTCATTGTTGTAATTCTGAAATTGGGGTATCTGGGGGAAGGAAGAAACATATTGCAGGTGGAATGTATAAGCAGATGCTTTGAAATAAAGCTCTCTCTTATATGTTTACCACCATTTATTGTTAAGATTACCCTCGAATTTGGCAAAGAAATAGTAAGCAGACAGATGGTACTATTTTTTCTGAAGTCTTTGGCCTCTTGCTGTCCAAAAGAAGAGTAGAAAAAAAAGTCTTTCTCTCAAGCCAAAGAAGGGAAAGTGTTTTGCATAATTTTATTTCCCTCCTCTAATTAACCTTAAAAAAAAAAAAAAAAAAAAAAAAATGGTGACATACTTCTCAATCAGTGTCAGCTGATGCGAGATGTGGTAGCACTAAAAATGAGTTTTAATAGGTAACTGGGAAAAGAAGTAAATAATGAAAATATTATTAGAATAGGAGGATGGAAAAGGAGGAAGACAAGAATTAGCTGTAAACAAACACATCAGTTCCAGCTTGAGAAGATCCAGAATTCCTCCTTCCAGTGGTCATGTGATGTAGTAAAGATTATTCAATCTACTGAGATTTAAGAATGACTCAGTGTCTCACTGTCAAGTTCTTGCCGTTTCTGATATGACATTGGAAGAGTTAATCCCAAGATAAAAATATTGCCAAACCTGGCAACAAAGTGGTTAGGATGGGAGTCCAGTTATTGACCAAGAGTATAAAAGCGCATTAGATCAGTACTTCAAATATAACTCACACAATGACTGATTGAAATGGACACGTCAAAGGCGCTTGTTCAGAGTTGTTTGCTGCATGATTTTAAAGTGGGCCTGTCAGCAGCAGAATCAAGTCACTGAATTGGCCAGGCCTTTGGAGATGATGCCTTTAATGAACGAACCACTAGACAATGGTTCCAGAAGTTCAGGTCAGGGGATATGGCTCTTAGTGATGCACCACACAGTGGTCAGCCACAAGCGCTAGACAATGAGGCCCTGAGAGCAGCCATAGAGAGTGACAGTAGCCAAACATGTGGTGAGCTCGCTGCACACTTCCAGGTACCTGATGAAAAGATCAGAATCCATTTGCACTGTATAGGAAAGGCATACAAGCTGAGCAAGTGGGTACCCCACTCACTGTACGATGCAAACAAACAACAGTGTGTCGATGCCTGTTTGTCACTGCTTACTCAGCACCACAATGCATTCATATTTGATTGAGTACTCACCAGCGATGAAAAGTGGGTTCAGTATGACACACTCAAGTGTTTCAGACATTGGTTGTCACCACGGGACCCTGTGCCTCCCACTGTCAGATCTTTTCTCCACCCACGCAAGATCATGCTCGGTATCTAGTGGACTAGTCGTTAAGTGATGCATCATGAGCTCCTGCCAGTGGGCTAAACCATCATGGCAGGCCTGTACTCGTAGCAGTTGGAATGTGTGCATCAGCCACTGATGCATAAAGAGCCAGCATTGGTCACTCGTAAGGATGTACTCCTCCTTCATGACAATGCGAGGCCACATGTGGCTCAGGAAGCCAGATACACCATTCAGCGACTGGGCTGGGAGACAATACCCCATCCATACACCACTCACACCAAAAGACTACCACCTTTTCCATTCCCTGGACAACCATCTTCATAGAAAATTCTTCAACAACTGGCCAGACCTTGAAAAGGCCCTCATGGACTTCTTTGCATCCAAGACTCCTGAGTTTTATCACGATATCAACGCACAGCTAGCCACTTGTTGGCAAAAGTGATTACTTTGAAGATTAGCAGTGATTATTATTTGTTTTATGACTTTTTCTTTCATACTGTCCAAAACGGCAAAAGCATTTTTGGTTACCTTGTAATTTCTAATGGTGATGCAGTGTTCAAAGAAATGTTTCAATCAAATTATATTTAAAAAGAGACCATTTGCAGAGTGTCTTCATTGATTCCAGTTACAGAACACCTGGAATTCCTGTTTCTGATGGTTATGTGATGTATGAAAAAAATCTTCTTGTCTATTGAGATTTATGAAGTCCCTTTCCTGAACATCTTTATTGATTCCAGCTACAGAAGATCTGGAGTATTTTATTCCTAATGGTGAAGTGATGTGCAAAGAAATATTCCAATCTACTGGTATTTAATAAGAGACTGTTTCTTGAGTATGTTTTTTTCTAACTTAAGATCTGGAATTTCTATTTCTCATGAGATGACTGATGACAAATTTAAAATATTCCTGTTTACTGCATTTATCTATCTACTGTAGAGACCATTTTCCAGGACTTTCTTCACTACAGAAGACTTATTAACTGTCATCTGATTCTGTCAGAACTGTTAATAACAGCCACCACAAGTACATCTGACCTTCTTTTAGAGTGCTTGTAATTCTAAAGTGGTGAATGATCATTCTTCTTTTGAATGCTGTTGTTTGTATTTAAGATTTTCTCAGCATATTTAATTTATTCTGAAGATTCTTGTGTTTATCTATTCTAGGCTAAAACAATGAGTTTAATTTGAATTATTTGCAATTTTCCTCTTTATTCTATACTGTGATCTGTTACTTCCAGTTTTCCTAAGATATTTAAATCATATTTAGTTAGATATGTTTATCAGTTTTGGTCTAATAAACTCAAGTTTGTTCTAAAATATTTTCTTAACAGAATGAATATTTCTGTGGAAATATTAAAAATAAATATTTATGAATTGTATGTTTTTCTTGGTTATCCATCAACATTAATTGCAGTGTTAAGAATATAAATTGTTTGTTAAATTAAAACCTGAGCATTTTAAAACTGCATACTGCAGACCATTTTAAAAAGTTGCATTAAGGTTCAAGGTACAGACCTCTTGCATTAAAACATTACCTTGAAGATCATACTGGAAGAAATGGAACCTGTTTTCACAAACTGTAATTAACCATCTTAATGAAAGCATGAAAATACATTGTGATATGTATGTAATTGTTAATGAACTTACATTTCCTATCAATGTCAAAAACTTTTAAATGGTTTTTAAACATTTTTTTTTTTCTCTTTTCTAAAATTTTGCTGTAATATATTATTTATTTGATTTGTTTTTTATACAGTTTTGTGCATGTATTTAAAATTTGGTTTTTAAGTTCATATTTAAAATAAAAAGTCGGATATTAGACAAGATAAATTAATTAATATTTTTTAACGGTTTTTGAGAAATGAGTGTTTGTGCATGATAGGTCACAATCTTAGTGCTCATTAAAAGCTAGCAAAATACCCATTCTTAACATTGTGAAAAAGAAATAAATTTCCCAGAGACAAATAAAATAATGGAAGCCATAATAGTGAAACAAACTATAATAAGCTGAAAAAAGCAATCAAAATTAGTGAAAATTTCCTATGCACAGAATAGTAATGAAGCAAATGATATCTTTCACTTTCAAGAAGAGTTATGATAAGTAAAACAACAAAATATTTTGGTGCATTGCTTAAAACCATACTGTATTAGAAGAATTAGAAAAAATCCCAGAACATTTTCTGATTCTTCTTTAAAAAATGTCAATGAGTCCTTTATGATTTACCAAAATTAAAAATATCGGAAAACAGTAAACTACTTTACATTCAGAAAACATTTCCTTTAAGGTTGTTTCCTGATATATCCAAAACTGTAAGAACAGCAATTCTGCAAGTGAGAATATGTGCAAAATAGCCATAAAAAATTGCTTCAAGGTGCACATGGGAGAAAGCCTGAAGAATCCATATGTTGAAATTTGCAGTTCAAGGTATTTTTGACTTGCTCTTTTTGAAACATACACATACTTTTATCATCACAAATACAGATTTTTGATAAAACGGATAGATGGAATTATATAAGGTCAATTTTTTGGATTTTTCAGAAATAGATTACAGTATAAATAATATACTTAAATAAATTTAAAAAAAAAAAAAAAAAAAAAAAAAAAAACTAGTTACAGTTATGGAGTGAGAATGTTAGACTTCACTTTAGCATTAATTAAAGCTCATTTAATGTTTAGCAAGCACAATTATTATCATTATTTATTACATACTCCACCAGTTAGCACTACATGGAAAGGGAGGGATGCCCAGTAGACGACCTTTTAAGGGAAACTGGCTCGTATCCATGTTACATGTGGAGAAAACTTTGAAAATGCTCATGCAGCCAGCTCATTCGCCAAGACTCAAACTCCAAATTAAACTACCACTGTTCAGTGGCTTTTACCACTCAGCCACTAGTGGGTTAGCATGCAAAACTGAACAACTTTTTCAAAAAATTAAGGCATAAAAGAAAATTCATGATTTTGCATGCTAATGTTATTTAATCTAAATAATGGAAACATATACAAAAGCTAATTAAGAAAAAAAGGCTCCCTAAAAGTATACTTAAGTTCAAAATTTATCAGAATTATTTTATTTGTTAAAAATATTTAATAATACTTATTACTGCATTCAAGCTAATAGAAATAATGTGATTAAAATTATTCAATTAAAGTACCAGTTTTTAATATGTGACAAAAATACAATAATTAATTACCTTATTAGCATGAATTTTGCTAATGCAAGTGCAGCTGCTGCTTGTACTTCTTTATCATGATGTCGAAGAGACCAAAGGCATTTTTCTTTAACAAAAGGTAGAAGCATTCCTAATAGTGTTGTCTCTAAAATGAAAGTTTTCTGTATATTAACATTCAGGAAACATGAAAGGAAACAGTCAGGTATAAAAAGACATTAAGGCAACCGAACCTCCTCAAGTTTCAGGTGCACTATTAGTTCAAATTTTTATTTAAAACATTTTTTAAACAATTATTATGTACTTTTGTAGTTATTTGAGAAAAGATTAAATTATTTTATTATGATCAAATACATTAGGTTATCTGTTTTTGAGAAGAACACCTTCATAATCTTTATTTATTTATTTTAAAGGGAAGATTATACATTAATTAAACATATGGAAAAACTACTAAAATCTTATGTAGATAACCATATAATCTCCCTTGAGATGGACACAGAACTATTCATGATACTAAATACTAATGTTTACACACTGGTAGCAATGCAAAACAGTGAATTAATAAGAAACTGGTACTAAAAACCAGTGCTTTGTACATTTATCAACTTATATGACAAAGAACATGGCTAAATGGCAAAATGCAATTATTTATACTAAAAACAATTTTTCAAGCAAATTCTGCAATTAAATATTGATATAGCAGATAAAAATGTCCCCTTTCCTAAAAAAAAAAAAAAAAAAAAAAAAAAAAAAAATCTATTGTAATTATACGAAAGAGTCTGGTACAATATTATGTTTTCCTTTTCTAAGTTATAAAAGAAGTAAAAACTGATGTACAAGAAAAACTAACTACACAAAATTAATTGTAAAATAGCAGTTAAATCAAACTGATCACAAAATGATTGTAACAAATTCTACATGTCTTTTAAAAATCAATAGCTTTAGAAAATTCTAAAAATTTGCACAGATCATTAAAAATGTTGCAATATATTCCAAGAGACTGATTTAAAAATATAGGAAAATAAAATTATACAAAATTAAATACAGCTTTATAAAGGGAATTTATTTGATAGAAATACATGATGTATTTTTTTCTTTAACATATACACATTTAGATCCAAAACTTCTGGGTATATAACTCCTATGTAAAGAGTTATAACTATGGATTGGACATTTAAATCCTTGAACAACTGCACTCATTCAAATCAAATTAAAAATTCATTAAATATATTAACTGAAAAACCTTGAATTAATCAGCATTGGGGTTTCCTTTTTTGGAGGATCCTGAGATATTTTTTTAGAAACCTTTTTAAAGATTTTTTACTTCCTTATACGAAGTAAAAAGGAAGTATTGCAATCGCAAAAAGTTACAGGCAGCACATTTCAACTAAAATATCCATTATGATCACTATCAAATGCAACTTAACGATGTTTTTGTGTGACATCTGTACGTAAGGACAGAATAAAAGGCTCTTTTCCTCCAAAAAAATTATAAAACTGCATTAAATTGAATTCTGAAGAGAATTTTTCATGGAATGTTGAAATTTTGTATATAGGACTGCTATAACATGTAGATCTGCACCTCTTATTTTGGTTGCAAATGTATATAAATATATTTATATATACATCAACTCTGTTACCCGGCTCAGTGATCTCATTTTCTTTACTTTTATATGTTTGTAAATTCTGAATTTTTTGCTTTAAAAATGATTGAATTATGTTGTTCTTATCTTCCAGTTAAGGTTTTGCAAGCAATAGTTGTAGAATTATCAACAATTTAAGAGCTGTTTAAGTGTGGTTAAGCCTAATTTTTAAATAACATGGCGGACATGTTTGTTTACATTTGAAACAGCAGAATAGTAGATTTGTTGCCAATCTAAAGAGACTAAGCTTTGCAACAACAAAGATAATGCCTTTTTTTATTATTGCAAATTAAATCATGCTTAATTCTTTCTGGAATTTTTTCGAGAAAATAAGTGTTTAAGATTTACTTCGTAATTTTTAATATAGATATTTTGAGTTTTTATGTATTTTTGCCTTGTCGCGAAGTGAGAACTGAATTAATTGAACGAGAAATACAGAATTTTCTGTGAAAAACTGTTTCTTTTCTGTTTTGTTTGCTTAATTTTTTTTTATACATCATTCTAGATTTATTATAGTATTTGAATAGAACATGTGGCAACGATTAGATAATTCTTTAATGATATAAATTTTGTGCATTCTGAGTTATAATATGAACGAAATATAATGTTGTTAAGTGAACCTAGCACAGAGTGTCGCTGTAGTAAACAAATATAGTGAATTTTAAAGAGTGCATGTATTCTATTGTGGTTTATGCGCTATTGACAAAGTATTAGTTTTAATTCAATCCAATAAGTTTAAATGAAATGCAAGAAAAATGCGTATAATTTAATATTCAGTACAAGGAAGTCATGTGGTGTACACATCAGATTTTTTAGATAAAGAATTTTTCTTTATTATTTTTCAATTTTCAGAAAAAATATAGAGTAACTAAATGTATTATAAAGCATTTTTCAAAACATTACTAAAAGAAACCTTAACTTATCTTTTTCCAGAGTAAAATATACTACGTAAAGTGTAGATATTAGAGAGAACCAGAGTGTCTGGACCCTAAATCTAACATTTATTAAAGCTGATACATTTTCAAATATTTCCCACTATGGTTGATTTTGGATGAATAATTCATTTCACACAACAGCCAATGTGGATGGGCAACACACAAGGAAAGTAGAAGGTTGCAGCTGAGTGAATAATGAATTTTATATTGTATATCAAGTTAGGCTCGCTTTCCAGTTCAATAAACAATAGAATTCTGGCAATCCACACTATGCACAGAACCGAAAGTTATGGTGGTGTGGTGTATTTAATTATGGCAAAGCACACTAGGGCTATCTGCCTAAGGGGAGGGATGCCTTCGTGGAGAACTTTCTAAGGGAAACTTGCTTGTATACACATTACACACGGGGAAAACCATGAAAACACCTATGCAGCCAGCTCGTTCGCGGGATTCAAACCTCGGACCGAACTACCAGTTTTCAGCGACTTTACCGCTTGGCCGCTGGTGGGCCCTTGAAAGTTATGTGAACAGAATTTTACAGGTTAAAGTTCAGGTTTCCTAAATTTTGTTTACTTTTTAATTTGTTTTTTAAATTTGCATGTAAACAACTACTTAAACATATTCATGAATTATCATATATTTTAAATATAATTGCATACATTATGAAAATAATATACTATGTTTTTCCTTGTTTTACAATGATATTTAGCCTCCTACAAAATACCCTGCGTGGCAGAAAAGTGGCAAAACTGAAATACTTCCTAATATGGTTAGAATCTTTATGAACAGTCTGTTTCTTCAGTCTTGCAAAAAGTTGCCTTATTTAAAATGTATTCTATCACAGAAAGATAATAAAAAGAGAAAGTACAAGCACTTTTATACTTGTAGAAAAACTAATTGCTACATGATTACCAGATTTCTATCTTTAATAGAGATTTATGAATGAAATATATGCTTTTTATTTATAAAACTTTTGACCAAAATTACTATTGAGTAAAAAAGACCATCTGCCTTGCATAAAAAAACAACAACAATAATTATAACAATCTTTTGTACAAAGAATTTTATGCACCAGGTTTTGACCATTTAGGGGGGGGAGAAGGAAGAAATAGTTAAAAATAAATAAAGATTAAGGGAGGATGTTTAAGAATATTATTTACCGTCCTTTACTTCTTTTGCACACATGTCAAGAATTTGCTCATATGTTGTTTCTTCATCTGTAGGGGGCACTAATCTGTAACTTTCATGTTTTCTTCTCTAAAAAAGAATAAAATTAGTGACATTAATATAATGCTAAATAAGTTATCACAGTTTCATGAGACATTTTCCCCTTCCTTTTTATTCTAGATAACCAAATTTTGCACTACATAATTTATGAGATTATAAACACAATACTTTTGTTTGTTTCAACAGATTTATATTATCTATTAGCTAATTTTAAACATAACAGTCGACATAACATGCTCTAAATTTAATCAGCAAACCCACAGAAGTTAGAATCTAAAAAATAAAAGTATTTTTTTTTTTATACATGAAATCACAATCCTTAGATCATTAAACATAAAATAAATTCTAATAAAAAACATAGTACATTATTGTTCAAAAAGCTGATTTATATAGAAAATATGCAACTTGCAGCAGTTAAAGTACCTGAAGAAAATAGCGATGTAGATGCTCAAACTCGCATATATATAAGCAGTGTATCAGGTGCAAACAGTCATCTTGTAGTAGATGTTTTTCTGCGTAAATGTTAAAGAAATACAAGATGCTTCAAAACTCATTAACCTTTTGAGGCAGGGGCTTTGGTAGCAGTAAAAGCCTTGAAAGGACGGGGAATCTTGAAACAAATGCTTCCCCCCCCTGAAGAAATCACCTCCTATTTGCAACAAAGATTCTTCTGTGTAGCTTAATGGATTCTCAGAAGGGTGCATCTATGTTGCAAAAGGAAGGGAAGTGTAACGATTAGCGACCAGACTTCGTCACTGAGGGAAAATTTCATATTACAGTTGTTTCGGATTGAGACTACTGGAAAATGTGTAAACCTCTGTTGAAGAAAATGACATTCTTTATATTATAGGACGTTCGTTTTTATAAAATTTTGGTTTGAATTTTGAATTACGCTGCAAAATTATGTGTCTTTACTAAGTGTTTACAATAATTATTTCTATCGTATCTTTATATTAATGTTATGTCAAAAATATATTTCAACTATTTGACTATTTGATTATTTCCTTGGACAATTTAAAATTTAACCAGGCTTCATCTCAGTCTATTTTTTTTTTAACTGTTAAATGTCCTTATAATTTTAAATTTGTTTCGGTATATATTGTCAAATATTCTCAATATCAAATATATCTTTGAACTTTCTTCCATACAGGGAATAATTAAAAAATAAACGCTTAAAACTATAGAAATGATTAAAAATTAAAGTTCAGTGGAGCTGTTAAAATTATGCTCTATAGGTGTAATGAAATTTTAATTTTACATAATTGTTCAAAATCTGCTTAATAACATACTATTTAAGGAGGAAACTTTCAGCAAACTAGAATATAACTGGTTTAATTATACATAATTTTATTTTATTGTAGACTGTTAGTACTGCAATGTCCAACTACATAAGTGCTACTAATTAAAATTCAGTTCTTTTCCAAAATTAATGCATAATAAAACAGATGCTCAAAAACTGTTTTTTAGAATATTTTAGTTTTAAAAATTTGAAGGGGAGGGGGAAGAAAGAAAAAGAAAAGAAAGATTATTTAATCATGTAACCATTTTGTATTATTTATTGAAAATTAGTAAGTGGTATATTTAAAGTATTAATAATAGAATAAATTCAAGTCATTAAAAATGTCAAATTATTTGGTATGCAAACCCATAATTCAAAACACCACATTTACAAGTAAATTCCATTAGTCTTTTTATACTAAATTCCCTGGCTCACTACGGGAACGTGTTCACTACGGTATCAAAATTAAAGTAATTTTTTAGAGAAAAGAATTTTTCAAATTGAAGGAAAAATTGTTTGTTATCCATAGTGTCTGCAAAAACTGTGGGGCAAAAGTTACACGATAATTAGTTGTTGTCTTCAGTACTGCATTATGTTATCCTATATTATGCTACATAATTTAGCACATTAAGAGAAATTTCCAGATAATTTCCGGTGCTCGGTCAGCAAAATTCTCTTCAGTTTGAAATCATCATCGCATGTGGATTTTTCTATTTCCTCTATTGTTTAAACCAGTTCGTTTCAACTCCAGACTGTCTTTGTAGCAGCTTTGACATCAACTATGGTGGCATATTTTATATAGTGGAATTTAAATTCTACGATATATTAGCAAGTATATTATTCTATGATATATTATCTTTACTTGCAGTTACTCAAAAAATCTTCATCAATTTGGCGCCCCTTGGATGGCAAATTGATGAAGATCTTAGCATCAATTTGGCACCCCTTGATGCTGCACCCGGGGACAGATCCCTATTTTGCCCAACCCTAGACGCCACTGTTGTCAGTCATGCGAATTACCTAGTGACACAGTTGAATTAACTGTTTTTCTCTTTTTTATTGAAAATTTGGCAGCTATTCATTGGTTTCATCAACACCTCAGTCATTATGCTGTTGTATCGAAACTATTTCATAACTGAGTGCCCAAGGTATGCCCCCAGGAATTTGTCCTTGAACATAGTTGCTGAGTCTAATGAATGACAAAGGCATTCAATCACTTAAAAGGTCAAGGTTCAGAAATTGAGATGGGGAACATGTGTTGTCTTAGAACAATGATTTGTACATTATTTGAGAGCTTTTACATCCTGTTTGTATTCTCAGAGCTCAATGGACAGTAAAATTTCACAAATGCTACTCTAATCCATTCTGAACATCTTACTTCAAAATTATTTGACCGTGAAATCAAGACACTGATACAGAGGTACCTTTTAAAATAACAGTACATCAGTACATCTGGAATCTAATAGCTAGAGATAACCTTCAAACTGACTAGTTTTAGTATATTTATGATTTCCAGATTTCAGACTGAAACTACTGTTGTTTCTTTGACACAAAATTTATATTTATGTTCTTGTGATTTGTATGAATAACAGTACCATCACAGTAAACTTCCGTATGTGAAGGTCACTTAGCATAAACAGATATATATGGAAATACAGACAGACAGAACTGTTAAGAATGTAAGAAAAAGTGCTTGTACATGTATAGAAGTACGTGGGAATTTATATTTGTTTATGGAAATTTATACCTACATATCCATATAGTATGTATGTCTGCAATGATATAATATGGTATAAGTGCAGATATGTACATAAAGCGGAAAGCATGCATACCCTTAAATGGGAATAATGTATATACAGCCACGTACATGTACACACACATATGTATTTATATATGTGTTTGCGTGTGGATTTATGCATACGTGTATAAACATACAGATATACGAATGTGTACATATTTCATCATCAAGCTCTTGAAGAAGTTTTCGTATTTCTTCTTCAGCCAGACTAACTGGTAGATGTAATGTTAGACTTCTTTTCCTTTTTGGCATATTGCTAGAAAAATGTCAAAATTATTTCTAAAAAAACTTATGAAAATATACAATATTCTAAAGCAATGCAAGGCTCTGTTTAAAATTTACAAACGCAGTTATCGTGAATTATGTAATTATGTAGCTACAAGAATTAAAAGGGAAAAATTGGGAAAAACCGGATTCTTAACACAAAGACCTTTGAAAAAGATAAGTGGTTCAAACCCCAGGGATGTCAAATTTGACATTTCACCCCACTTTTCAGCCTGGAAAATGGGGGAAAAAGACATGGCCACTAAAATGGACAACCCCGTCTTTTCAAACAGAGGACTCTATGGCCATCATAATGGTCATTCCATCTTCAAAAGGTTAAACCAAAAAATCTCTATTTCAGAGTGAATTTACAATGAATGATAATGAAATTGGGAGGAAAAAAAAAGCAGTATAAAATCATAGGACTTTATTTTTTTTAATTGTAGTTACATCTACCAGTTAGTATTGTAATTAATAAGCCTGTATATATGTTTCAGTTTTTGACAGTCAACAGGCTATTGGAAAAAAGGAATCTTTGCATTTTTGGAACATTCATTCAGGACAAAGCTCATACTGTTTCTCACTTAACCAGCCTTTTCTAAAATTATCAATAAACTACTTGGGAGCCTCTGAAGGGGGAAGATTTCTAAATTTTAGTTAGCTGGGCTTTAACACTTCTGTCTGTAATGGTGTTTTGGTGCCTCATACACTTGTACCTGACCTGCTTATCATTTGGTCTTAATTTCTTGCAAAAACGCAGTAATAAGCTGTCATTTTTCAGTGTTAAAGGTAAAAAAGATTTCCAACTCTAAATTGTGCAGCATTTTATCACTATGTTACTTAAGTCAAGAGTTTATAGAGATCATTTAGCATCACTTAACAATTTGAACACATGTTGCACAAACACATGTATCAATAATTTAATGCAAATACACTTTTTCCTTAATACCATACATTGCTTTATGGTTTCTGGATAATAAATTTTATATCATTAGCTCATCTATTCTGTTATCATTTTTCACTGAAAATAAAAACTATAGTACAGTGATAAATAAAATACCTAGATATGCAACTACATAAAATTTTTAATTAAATAGTTTCAAATACATATGGAAGACATTTCAACTTAATCATCTTAAAAACTGCGAATAATAAATGCTGATCTATACACTAAATAAATCTTCTCAAAGGCTATACTGAACTATTCAGGGTAAAGAAAGCAAATATTAACTTACAGATAATGATTTTGGTGTTGAAAGAAAACCTGGTTTTGGTGTAGAAAAGTTTTTAGGGATTGATGATCGCCTTCTACGCCTTTGCATTTCTTGCTTCCTCAAGTATGCAAAAATATCCAATTTTAAATACATCACATACTGTAATGCAATGTGTCCACATAATGAAAGAAATCGAGCCAGAAGCATGTTGGGAATTTCAAACAATTCACCTGAAAAGTTCGTAACATTCCTATTAATTTTTTGCAAGTAGGGAAAATAGAGTACAACAATAAATGTATCAGAGTAAGAAATCATTAGGTAACCAATCAGTTAACCAAATTACACTAAAAGGAAACCACACACCTCAAAATTTACAAACCGATAGCTTTAAAAACATAAATCTCCATTTGTTATTAAAAAGAGGAGGCAAAACAAGTCTAATAATTCAAAATAATAATGTGATCTAGTGCATGATTTTCATTTCAGCACAGCAATAGAAGCCAAGCATCTCTAATAATAATAATAATAATAAAATAATAAAAAACATGACACATACTATATCAATGATTTTTAAATACACAATCACATTAACCCTTTTGCCCTGACTTTTGCATGATTAAAATTAACTATGAAAAGTAATTTAATTTAACTTTGACGTACTAAACGAAGTGAAGTATGAGTTTAAAATTTTTAACTTTTTCAGTTTCCTGGAAATCTCCTGGGACAATATATCCCAATTCTACTGTCAAATGGGGCTAATTGTCCCAATTGCCTCAGATATTGTGATAATAAATTTACACTGCATGTGAATAAATAATAAAGTTAAATGAAATGTACCAAATATTTTATCTTTACAGTACAGTTTAAGCACAATATGACGTAAAGCAGTCTTTACAAAGTGCAACCTGACACATTTGGCAAAATAGCCCAGGTTTCTTTAGTCATATATTTGTTCCTTAATTCCTTAAAAACACTACAAATGTAAAAATCCATTTAAAAGTGGGTTTTATTTACTCATTAGGGAATGAAATCTAATCTATGGGTCATATGTGCTCATTAGGACCAAAAGATTTAAGTAATTCAACAGATAAAATCTTAAAATATGCAACCACAGTTCAATTTATAAAAGAAGTTGTGATGCTGAACAAGATTTTTTCCAGACAATACGTAATACAACTTAAGTTCTAACAATTTTATTATCATTATAACCACAATTTTGATTTTTTCCTTTTATTGTTATGCAAAGGTGTTTGAGAAATATAAATAACAATAATAAAAATGTTTATAAATAGCAATGAAACCACTTTTCAAATGACAAATTTTATTAATAATCTTTCTGTTAGTAAGAGGTATAGAAATATTTTTTGTTTTGTAGATAAATAATATAATAAACAACAATGGAATGGCTCCTCAAATAGAAATTATGAACAAAGAAATTAATTAACATTAATAATATATAATCATTATATTAATATAATGTAACTACCATAACACTAATACAATTAGAAATATATATTAGAGATACCACATGATTAGCAATTATTTATTCCTTTACCTTATTACTTCCTTTGTGTCATACTGATTTTAAGTTTTTCCTTTTATGTATACAGAATGTGAAAAGATTTAGATGAGTGTCTGAATACAAGAAATTATTGGAACCATGTATGTGCAATAATATTTAATAGTAATTATACTAAAATAATCAGAAAACCAAGTTACAGAGGCTAGTAAAAATGCAAATGATTATAATTTGGCATAAGTAAAAAAATTGCCTCTTTTCTTTTATATTTCAACATCTACCTCTGAGGGAACTATACTAATGCTGTAAAGAATCAGAAGATTATGAGTTGATATGTTTGCAAATAATACAGACATGTCAACACATGTATATTTAAATACATTTTGTACTGATAAATTCATTACAACTGTTTACTGCCCCTTGCCATGGATAGAATATTAAAAAAAGGGGTATGAAAATAATGAAGAGGAAGAATACATTCAATTTTTCTATTTTCAGCTCAGTACTTAAATGTTATGCTGTTATAAACTTGTAGTTTGCAATGCGAAATGTGTGATTAAAATAACTAACTGCACAAAGAAAAAAAAAAAATATTTAATGACAAATTTTTACTTGCATATGCATACAGTTAAAAAGGTAGGGAAAATCATTAGACATTTATCCATATTACATTGCAATTCTTTTTAAATATAAAAAACAATACCCAATGTTGCAATCAATAAAATTTGCTACTTAATTAAAAAACTAACTGAGAGCAAAACAAAAGAAAACACAACAGACTACCAATTAATCAGGGTAATACTGGGAACATTGTCCACAGATAACCTAAAATCAGGATTAATCCAATAGAAGTTGGAGGGAAAGGGGAAAAAAAAAAAAAAAAAAAAAAAAAAAAAACAAGATAGAAGAATAACCCATAATACAGCAAACAAAAAAAGTACTATAAATAATTTACTTGTATTTTTAAACAGTTTAATTTGAAGAACAAGTTCACTTGGTTATGTATATTAAATCAAATATACATAACCAAGTGAACTTAAAACAAGAAAACATTTCAAAACAGAAAGAGCAATGATTTTGTCTGTAGTAATTTTGCATTTTGATAGTTGATGAAAAACAAAAAATTAACAGTTATACGCTTATTTTTAACACTTTACAATTTATTTTCAATGAATAATTTAACAATATTTATGTACAATAAAATTACATATCATTGTACATAAAAAGAATTTCTAAATATTATGACATCATTTGCTATCATTGCTACTGTCCCACAAATTTTCTTATCCTTTTTATATTTCTTGAAGGAATTTAAAAAAAATTCTGATGATGTATGATACTAGTTTTCCACTGAGCTGCAATAAACAAACAACTTTTTCTCACACAAGGCATGGTTGATTGGGAAATTAATTGTAGTTATATAATTACATTCACATATGTTCCATATTGACTTAAAATCATTCTAAATGATTTTCAAAAGTTTTTTGTTACGCAGTTGCTCTCAGCTTTATTGTAGAATGAAATTGAATTAGGGATATAATGACATTATGCTTAGAAGAAGTTATGAAAAAATTGGGTTTCCTTAATAAGGAGTACTGGCTGAGTAAATAAACCATTGAACTAGAGACAGGAAAAACTGCTTTTTTAAGAGATCAGATTGGAACAGTTAGCTCCCTTAAGTGAACCAGCTTTTTTTAATGATTCACCAGTCACTAATAATGACCTTGATGAATATGCTCAGAATAGGCATGGATCAAGAGCAGTGTGCAAAGATGGAGGAAATGAAAAAAGAATTCAGCAAGGAATGGAGTTGGTGGAATCAACTGAATCAAACCGCCGACTCCCTGGACTGATTTCTTTCAGTTGTATTTTTGAAATTGCGTAAAACCACCTATCTAAATACAAGAACAATAAAATTCTGGAATAAGAAAATGCTAAGAAAGTTAAAAAATAATGAAAACCAAACTCACATTTGTTAAAGATTACATTATTTTATTACTATAACTGATATTTTGTTGCTACTAGAAAGCACAATGTAAAAATAAATTTTTAGATTGAAGGCAGATCCCAAAGAACAGAAAATTGTCTGCTGAAAATACCAACATTTTTCTTTTTTATCGAATTGGACAAAATGATACCAAATATTGCTGGAGGTTCTTCTATGCATTAAGGTCACCTTTTTGTTCTGCAACCTTGAAAAAATACATTAGATGGAACAATTTATCTTTATAAATATATACTAATTCTAAAGAAGATTGAAGTGAAATTCACAGCTTCCGACTACAAGACATTGATAAAAATAAAATTTATTATTTTATATAAATGTTGCAACTGTAGAGCAATTGATAATGAAAGCGATTAAGCTGTACCCTCCGACGTTACTTCCCTCCTCATCCCCACTAACTGGAATTGGACTCGATCCAAAAAGAAAGAAACCTTCTCTCTTTGTATGACTCATTCTCGTGTTGATTGATGATGACTATGGTTGTATCATCGCTAGACACTTTTTCTTCTTATGGCTCCTAAATATGCTATTTTCATGTGTTAATAATAATGATCGTGTTCTTTACATTCGCAGCATGGATTACACTTTATCAAGGTAAGAACTTTAATTCTGTTTTATTCATCAGCTCGTCTTGAATAAGCTGTGTTCCAATAGTAAGCAAATGAACTGTACGTACCTCCAACAATAACAACATAATATAAAAAAGGAATATCTAACACAGATATATCACGATACAGTATTTGAAGAATAGAAATTAAACTCAAAGCAAGATTTCTGAGGAAGCGAAAAGAGCAAATACTCAGGACTCTGTAGAAGCCAGATTTGCAGCTAGAAAAGGAATGCTGGAACAATGGAAAGAGCAAAAAATGGAGACTCCATAGGCATCAGATCCGCGGCTAGAGAAGGAGTGATGAAAAGAACAAATAATCAACACTCCAGGACTTAGATCTGCATCTAGAGAAGTAGAATTGGAGCGATCACAGGTGGGAGTTCGAGGAGGAAAATGAACATCTATTAATCTAGGTATTTTAAACAGATCCTCGCACTGCCAGATGAGAACAAACATTCCATTCAGCTCTAAACATGAGTGGTCAGTTTTGCTGAGATGTATCAGTTTATTTAATGTTTAGTTTTTTAAATACTAGATGGAACACAAGAAAACCAAAAGTGCACATTTATACCTACATAACACACACACATACATACATAAAAAAAGTTCAGAGACACTTCCAGTAAATAATAAAGAACAAAATAATAGTGTTTGCATAAGACAAATAAAATTTTTGGCACACTTCTCAACAAGAGCTCTCTGTGAACTGTCAAAGAACTACCATTCCATTTTCACTAGATTGGAGATTAGTCGCTCAGTAAAGTGAATTGGTTCTTTGAATCAGTTTTGGAGCAGATCGTTCACCTTTTCATTGAGCATCGATGATTCAACTCAAATTCCTATTAATGAACTGGTTCCACAGAATGAGCATGATCATGTTATCATGGTTTTCCTTATGGGAAAAGGCCCACCATCAAACAAATGGGTACATAATCTAACAGTGCTGGTTAGAATATGGTGAACATTATGGCTGATTGCTCTCATGGTTTTCTATACATGTAATGCAGATACGAACTAGTTTCCCTTACAATGATTTTCATGAAGACATTCCTTTCCACAGGATGATAGTGCTCTGTCATAAATTAACAAAGAACATAACATGAATACAAACCATTTTTCATTAAAAGATTTTTAACTGAAGACATCCCTTTTCTTAAACAGATAACTATTATGCCTTCATGGAGGATTTTTTAAGGGAAACTTACTCACATTTACATCATACATGAGAAAGTCCTTCAAAACTAAAATGTAACCGGTTTATTCACAAACATCTTATCCAAGGTTGAACTACCAATATCCAGCAATTTTACTATTTGGCAGCTGATGGCCAGAAGCAGATTAGGATCCTCCAATTTCAATAATCATTGTAGTTTAAAATTGTTTACTAAACATCTTAAAAAATAATAATAATAATGATTTAATTAAGGTTATTATCTTCAATTAAGAAAATTAAATATATGAATTGAAAATTACTGAAAATATAAAACAAACTTCAATTATTTGGCACATTTCACTTGATACCATTAATAGATAGCAAATTACTAAGAGAATAGCCCTTTTTACTAATATTTTATGACTGCTCCCAAAAATTTCTTCGCAGGAGACATAACATTTTACAAAGTGTGAAATAAATTAAAAAAAAAAAAAAGGCTTATGCAAAAAAATGCATTTAGCTGTATAAATAGAAAATGTTTCTTCCATTAATTTTAATTACAACAACAAATAGGAAAAACATAAGGAAGATTAACTATTCATAATTTAACCTACATTTTTAATAAGCAGTTTAATTTTTAGAATAAGTTCATTTGGTTACGTAAATTAAATCAGCATTTAAAATGAGAATAAACTTTAAAACAGAAAAAAGAATGTTTTTGCTTATGTTATTTTTGCATTTCAACAGAAAATTAATGGTTATACACTTATTTTTACAGTTTAACGATTTATTTTCAATAGATAATTTAACACTGTTTATGTGTTCCGAATTATATACAGTTAAATTAAATACTCTTAGAGATAAAAACAATACACTTGAACTTGAACATTGTGATATCATCCACTATCATTGCATTATTCCACACATTTCCATTCCCTTTTTGTATTTCCTTCGAAATTTTGCTGTATTCTGATAATCTGCGACAATAATTTTTCTATAACCTCAGAATAAACAAATAACATTTTTTAAGACAAGCTCAGGTAAATAAAGTCATAATTAATCAGAACTTGATCATATACACTAAACTTAGACAGTACATTTTGTCACTCAAATGGCTAATTATATTAGTAATCACAAATAGGGCTCCATTAACTCATTATAGATATTACTGTAACATTTCTTATTTTGATAGCATGCAGTTTCCCTCATATGGTATGACATACTTCCTTCAGGTGTGTGTGTGGGGGAGGAAAGAGCAAAAGACCCACTTCTTGTAAACAATGCAAACATTTTGTGATCAGAAACACAAAACAATTTAAGAGAAACTTTGCCTAATAAGTAATATGTATATTCAACATAATGCAGACCTAAGCAACATGAAAATTAGTTTTTCAAGAAGACACTGATTCTGGTACTATTCAAAAGATGATTTGCTATAATAACAGATATATTAGAAGAATAATGGATATGCTTCTCCTTCCAAAATAAAAGTGAAAAATATACTAAATTTAAGGTTTATTATGGTTGTATTCCTTCTCTTCTGTAGATGCAAATAGATAAGATTTTGAGAATATAACTTTAATAAGAAACACTCATGAACACAGTAATTAAAAAAAATAAAAATTTGGATATCGATAATTAAAAATATTATAAACAGTATAATATACTATAAAAGGCAAACATGCTTACTACTTGGCAAAACCGTTGTCAAAATTGAATTTTCAGAAATAAGGTTGGCAATTTTTGCACATATTTCTGCACACAATACAGTAGGCTTTTCAATCATGACAAATATTGTGCAAATAGCTTCATCAGCCATAGATACCCATTGATCATCATTAAAATTTTGAATACCTAAAAAAAGAAAAAAAAAATTATGCTTACTAAAAATATTGTTGATCAACATATATTACTTTTGTTACATAAACCTAAGTATCTAAGCCATAAAAAACATCAAGTTAATACATAATTACAATAAAAGGCCTATTTGCAGTTTATTCTATTTTTCGGATTCACAACAAGAAAATGTAAGAAATTATGTTTTTATTAATGTACAGTGATTTAAAAGGCATCAAATAATTTTTTATGAAATGCTAGGAAAGCTATAACTCCATGAATATTTGAGAGAATGGAATAAAAATTAGTATTTCTATTAAAGAAATTTCAATTTGCAGTTTTAGATACTATTCATGATCATATGTACTTAATTTGTAAGCAATTATATCCCTCCTACATCAAAAAGTGTATATAGTTAAGTCAAATAAATTATTTTCAAGATAAATTTTTCATTTTGTTTTTCTGCATATATTGTACATTTATAGCAATTTTTTCCCTCATATGTATGAAAGTAAGGGTTTTGGATGTTATATTGATTTCAAATAGTGATTCATTTCAATTACTTTCCTGTATGCGAAACCTCACTGGTTTGAGAATCCTTACTGAAATCCCTATGGATATCTCATCTCCCACCATATACACAGAGAATTCTAGCTGCCTTAAGTGATGGTCTCCCAAAACTCATGGTTGTAGCTGACAAAATTATGGATCTCACAAATCTCCCTGACATAAATAGTGTTACTACGGGCACTTCTCATTGAACAGCAAGTTGCACACCTGACGAAGTAAATGAACTTTCACTAGCAATCAAAAGCAGCTGTGAACATTCCTGTGAACATAACGAAAATCATTCCCAACATTACAAAAGGTATAATAAATCCAATGGACGCTATCAACAATATAAAAAGTCATGCAACAACATTTGTTTCTACCATACTAATTTTGGTTCCAATGAACAAAAATATGTTTCTCCATGCAATTTCCGGCAGCCGGAAAAATAGATTGGCGATCGCTTGTCGGCCAGCATTGCAACCGTCACATTAATCGAATTCTTCTGGCTGATCCATCATTGGCTGACCTTTACAACCCACACTGGCGCCAATTTATCTGTAATTCCCAAGAGTTATTGTCGGCATGCAAACAGTCCGGTTGCAGTAGTACTCTATGCCACCAACAGCATCAAAATAGCAACATATGGCACCAAACTTTTCACCTTCAATTTAAACTTATGTTGCTCATTTACCTGACCTTTCGTCCTGGCAGACATCAGTCAACCCTTCATAGGTCTCAAAGGTCAACACTTCACTATATTTACTAATCACCAGCCTCTAACTTATGCCTTTATATCAAGATCAAATACTGCTTCCCTCCAACAAACTCAGCATTTAAATTACATAGCTGAGTTCAGCATGGATATTCAGCATATATCAGGTTCCAGCAATGTCGTGGCAGATACTCTCTCGCATATTCAAGGCATCGATGCCAATGATCACTGATTCATCATATTGCCACTCGCACCAACGATGCGGAGTTAAAAGGCAAATGAGACCAAACTGCTCATTGAATTCCAGGCATTACAACTGAATCCGGCCTCCACCTCCACTGATAATAACAGACTTGACCTACGTACCCTTATCAGAAAAAAGTTTTGATGTTTCCACACTATCACACCTAGGTATAGCTTCAAAAGCTCTAAAGAAAATTGTGCACCCTGCTAAAGACATTGCCAATGGACTTGTCCGGATCATGTGCCAATGTTCGAAGTTACCCGGCACACACATAGGCCTTTGGAAAAAAATCGCCATATCCTCCAAGCGATTTAACCCTGTTCATATAGACATCGTCGGTCCTCTGACACCATGTGGATCTTACTGATATCTGCTCATCTGTATTGACAGATTTACTCGTTGGCCTAAAGCTTTTCCCATTCAGGATATTTCTGCCGACTCTGTGGCTCGACAATTCATCTCCGGTTGGATTGCATGATTTGGTGTGTCATCAATTGTGACAACTTATAAAGGTCAACAATTCCAGCCACACCTTTTCTCTTCTCTAACATCTATGCTTGGAATACACGGAATTCGCATTTCTCCGTATCATCCTTCCGCCAACGGCTTAGTGGAACTTTTTCACCGCAACGTAAAAGTAACAATCAAGTGCATAATGACATCCGTGGAACTACATCACTCCCTCATATGCTTCTTGGTTTCAGGCAAGACCTTGCAGGTACATCCGCTAAACTTGTCTATGGCACGACACTTCGATTGCCATCTGAGGTCTTTCAACCATCCTCTGCTCGTCGCCAGCATCTTCCTCAGACTTCCGAAAAGCGATAAAAATGCTGTCTCTGACTTCTACTCATGCCATAACATCAGCTTCATTCATACACCCTGCATGACACTTGCTTCATGGATTGTGCAAAACAACGCAGTAATGCCCCCGCTCACTCCCCATAGAACCTTCAAGCAGTTACTATAAAACATTCCACTGTTCTTGTGTGCAACAAGGAAACCATTCTGGGAATACACTGACTCTCACCGATTAAGAGGCAAACCAGCTTTCCCATTGTCCAGTAGGGGAAAATTTTGATGGATTCTATACTGTGTTCCATGGGCTGCCATTGGTGAAGCACGGACTCACCTCTCTTCTGCCTCATGATGCCTGCATAGCTATACTACAGCTTTGATGCCTATGCTAAAGTGGATGTACTACCTATAAAAATTCTTATGTCATGTGACTTACATTGATGTTATTTTGTTGGCAGATACTTTGCAAAGTAGGCTAACATTAGGCTCCTCAAAATAAGAAATGAAAACAATTTTTATCAATTGCATTATTCATATTATCAGCTAATCACATTCCGCCAAGATAATTGAAATTAAAACTAACAAACATTTGATCTCATTCTATAAAAAGGAAAAAATACAGTCAGCAAAGTTAAGAAATGACATTGAATTAACTGATTCGGAAGAATATGATGAAATTTTTAATAAAATACATCAAACATATTAAAATGCATACAAAAGTTTATTTACCCTCTGTTAAAAGGCATCTTATGCGATCAGCAAGTTCATGATCAAAGGCAGACGATTTCTGTAGCGATCCTATGAACTTTAAAATAGTAAATAAATATATAATAAGAAAATTTCATTATGCCCAAGGGGTATTTTCTTAACGTTTCAGTGTACCTTTCTTAATAAATAGCATTCTTTGCACTAAACCATAAAATTTCATTCACAGCAATATCGCAAATAATTTAAAATGAGCCATATCTTTAGAATTTCTATATACATCCGAGTGAGGAGATAAAAACTCTTTTTTTCCGTACAGTTTCCCAGCTCGCTTTGAAATCGTGAGTTAATCCAAATTCTTAAGTATACAAAATGAAAATCTAATAAAACAATTCAAATTTGGGCTGCCAGATGCCCTTTCAGAGGAGAATTACGTTATTCAAAATTTGATGGCTCTAGGTACCATTGTTTTATCACAATATGAGAAACATACATACATTTATGCAGATTCTTCATTATTTAATTTCATTAAACATAACACAAGCGATAATGTTTGGTGGCAACAGTTTGAAAAGTGATATGGACATTTACAGTGAATTGAAGCAAAATGCCAAAACAAAATTAATAGCCCTTCTGAGCTAATGCTCCTTTGGGCTAATAAAACTGGAACCAAGGAAAAAAAGGGCCATGCAACAAAAAATATTATTTAATAATTTATTTGCATTAACAGTATATTAAGTTTACACAACAGCTGTTATAAAATACCTATTATGTGGCTGAATTTAAGTACAATTTAATTAATTTTAAATTATTTTTTTAAATGCAAGGCATAAACAAACAGCGTTTAATACACCCTAGGAATTGATCATCATTTTTTATTATGCTAGAAAGACTATATAAGAGGATAAAAGAAATATTTTGGAAAAAACAGTTTCTGGCTTCTCAGTTTTTTCAAACTGAGAAGCCAGAAAGTACAGCAACATTTGCAAATGAAACAAAAATTTTAAAATAATAAATCTTTCAATTGCTCCCCCCCCAAAAGGAAAATCACATTTTTGGGGGGGGGAAGGTGAATATGTAGATCTGAAGCAATTTGATGAGCTTACTGATGTTATTTCTTATTTGTTTTTAAAGCTAATCACAGGAATAGAATTTAAATTTAGTCAAGCAGATGACATCTTTAAAATTTTCAAGTATATGCCTTTCTATTTTTGTCCAGCTACAAACATAATTTTTACTAATATTGCATCATTTTAAAAGATATTGGGCATTGGCAGGTCCGCTATCGGCTTTTGAAAAGTAGCATGAACATGAAAAACAAATGTAATCATTAGCTAGTGGATAGATCTATCACTAGCATTCAGTCCAAAGTTATGATAAAAGTCATTTGATGCACTTTTTAATGTGTTTCAGATTTCATCAATCCTTATTAGTGAGTTTCTTAAACTTCCCATACTAATGATTAGACCTAGACTTTCATATCCTTTTCAGCTCAAGATTAAATTACTCACAATAAGTAAAGGCACATTCTTTTCAGCATACTTCTCTTTGAGTGAATGAAAAACTCAAAGTCTCCAACCATCAAAACCTCATCTGAATGAACACAACTCTTCTTATGGCAAAATGTTTTCATAACATTAATGTCTGTGCTTTTCAGGTATGGTGATAATCATGTGTAACCCAGATATATAATTAAGTTCAAACGGATGCAATCATATCTTTGGATCATGACTTAACACATATTACACTTAAGAATGACCACTGTTTTTTTCAGCCTATAGAGAATATTAATTTTTTTCCAAAGGGGGAAATAGTACGAAAGATTTTATATACTAGGTTATCTTTGCCTTTGATATATGTTTGATGTAAGTTCTACCATCATTTATTAAAAATGAAGTAAATTACTTATAATGATGGAATTGATATCACAACAGAAAACAAAATGTTATGCAACAAGTTATTGATGATGATCATATTTAAATATTTGATCTAACATAAAATTTGGGGGGGGGACACCTTTGATTTTACAGATTTATGGATTAAAAAGTTTACACAAATCTGGAAATTCCAGATTTGAGAAAGTATAAAATCTGGAATTCAGGTTATTCCAGACCATAATCACCCCTGATTAATTAAGACCTTAAAGAAATAGCAATGGTTTCCCTTCTTTGCTTACAGCAAGTAAAATATTGAAAATTACGACTCCCAAATAGGATAAAATTTGATTATTTTATTATGAAAAAGTATATTCATGTCACTTGGTCATGAGAAGAAGTGCTTTCATCAAAGAATTTAAGGAAAACTTGCCTGCTTTTATGCTACACATAAGAAAAACCATTAAACCATAATGCAGTTTATCCATTCAGCAGCTGGAAATACAGTCTAGGAAAATTATTGTGTTTCATCATTTTTAGTTTTAGTTTTTGAGCCTCTAAGCCAAGGCAAAACAAATAGGTTTTTATTTCTATTATTATTTATAGGTTTTTATTCTATTATTATATTTCTATTATTACTGCTTTTCTCATTATGAACATGGCTTGCTTTGAAACTGAGAAATTCATTTAGACAACATGCACATTTTTAGGGAAAACCTTTCTCTAATGCTTTTCCATAAATTAAACTCTTAACTGTCTTATGACCAGGGCTGTGGAGTCGGTAGGGAAAATGACTGACTCTGACTCCTGGAATTTTAAAGACACCGTCTTCCTCACAGATCCTTTTAAATTTAGTTAGTTTGCCTTTCTTCCATTATATGTATATATATGTAAACATATACACATGGGTTACAGCTTATTTTTTTTTTTATATAAAAGGAGTAATAGATTCTACAGAAAAAAATTGATGGCATAGCAATTATTTATATTGTTAGCATTTATTATGAAATGCAAAAACTGGCATTAGTTATTTCTAAGAAACACTATAGCTTGAGCAAGATCTTCTTTGTTGGATGGCCATAGATCCGATTTGATAAACTTCAAAGCTGAGAAGAGTCTTTCCACACTAACTTGAGTAGGAGGAAGAGCGGTTACTGTTAGGGCTACTTCTTTTAACTTTTCAGGATAGATTTTTATAAGTTCTAAAAAAGGTGTCTCGCAAGTGCAATCATATTTCTCTATTTCTTCAAAGGCCATGTAGAAATCTTGTTTGTATTTTTTCAGTTTTATACTAAAGGCTCTTTATTTTCATTCCTTTTTGCCTTAGCATTTTCAATATTATTCAAAAATATTTCTCAAAAACTAATTCATCACTGGAAGAGGATGCTAGAGACTCAACTGCAATGTCTGCAGCTTCACTGTCCCGATTTGAATTCTCCAATTGTTCTGAGAATAATTTCATTCTTAATGAAAGTTCATAGACAGTTTTCTTTGCCTTTTTAATTTGTTCGTCACCCAAGAAAATTCATTCATCAAAATTGTTTCGGATCTACATGTATTGAAGTCAGCAAGATTTCATTGTCTAGCCAACTAGTTTCTCTTTTCTTCATTGAAGAAATTCCTTCTGCAATAAATCCTTCATCTCAGAAAGAACAAACATCCCATTCTTCCATTCTCGCCTCCCATCAATTCTTCAGATTGCAGCTTTTTTGAGCTATATGCAGTATAGAAAGAAGAGTTTCCAATTCTGCAAGATCATTCCACAGTCTTTCTGTTAGTGAAAGATTAGGGTTATCTACATGTTCTAAAAAAGTTCTTAATTCTAACAACCTCTTTATCAATAATTGCTCCTTTTCCTGCTCGCTTCCTAAGAATGGCATCAATTTTGGGAGTTCTTGCTGTTATTGCTGCTTACCTAAATTTAATAGTGAAATTTGTAACTGAATGAACCAGTTTAATCACTTATGGCAAATATCACACCCATCTTCCTCCCTTATATTTATTTATTAATATATCAATGAAATAGAAAATAATAGTAATAATAATAATAATAGAAAATAATTATTTATTAATGTATATTGTCCATAAATAAAAATAATAACTCAGCTTGTCATTAATTTTTTTTTCAATTCATTTTAATTTCATTTTAAATTGAAACTGTCCAATAAAAACTAGAGTCGGAGTCGACCTGTTTTTAGCGACTCTAGCTCTGACTCCTTTTATCCCCAAATCTGCCCGACTCCGATTCCGACTCCACAGCCCTGCTCATGACATTATTTTAGTTATTGAACAACAGTTTGTATCAGTCTAATATGCCATAACTTTGTCAGTTAAAAACCAGAATAAAAGTATACCAGTACAATAAAGTTTTAAAATGCAGTAAATTTTCTCTAGAAATTTTCACTTACCTTCCCTCTAGCTTTTTCATTAGTTTTACAAAGTACTCTAAGAGCATATTTTGCCAACTGAAAGTTCTGCTCCGCTTCCGCACTTAATCCATGTTCAACTAAACCATCAATGTTTTTGGTCATGGATGCAGGTTGAACTCTATGCAACACAAAAGGGAAATAAAATTTGAATTTTAAATCAATGTCTTTGTAAACATAGTCATTAAAATTAAGATGCTAATGTTTGCTAAGAAGAAGTTGCTTAGTTTACAAGACTTTGATTCTCTGCAAAAAGTTAATATTGATATTTACTATTATAAAAAGAAGTTGGAATCTGCCTAACAGCTTAATTACCTTCACAGAAGTTGCCAGTTCCTCAAAATGCATCAAACTCTGGCAATTGCACAAAACAATTCTTCATGCAGTCACGAGCTTAACAGTTTTTCAGTTTTAGCAAACTGAAAAATACTGATGTTTATTTTTCTTTCTCCTTTTATTTTGAGGGGGTATTTTAATGAATTTTATGCAAAAATTGAGAAATATTTTGTCTTTAAGTCTTTTAAAATATATGTTTGTGGGATTTGTCTGGCAGTGAAAGAAATTGTGGTATAATTTCCACAAGCATAAAATATTTTTTGCTACAGAATTGCTAAAGGGAATCGTTGTTTTGAATCTATTCTTAAAGCGATTGCTACAAATCTTCTATGAAAGTTAAAGAAACAAAAACTTGTTTGTAAGTTTATTGATCGACTTTTGAAAAAAATTATAATATGCATAAGAATTATAAATATATTTGTAATAAATTTTTTGCAATTATAAGTCATCGTTTTTTTTTTTTTTTTTTTCCTCTGTAAAAATCGCCAAACTGTACAAAGAAAGTACTTCTTGGTACACACATGAAGTTATTAGCAGAAGTTTTAATATAATTATACAAGTGAATAAACAAATCATGAATGATAATAAAATAAATGAAATTTTTTGCATTGTTTAAATTACTAGAGCTTATTTTGAGTTACATCATACAGCTAATACAAAAGCCCATTAAAAATATATCCGAGCTTGCTTTTTTTGGTGGGAAGTACTTTAATTTAGGAGCGGCTGTTGGTAGATATTGTGCATTTTCACATTACTTGTATGAATATTCTCCTGTTTCAGTTCCTAACAGTTAGTCTGAAATCTGACAAGCTTTCAGTAAACTACCTCATTCATTATGTGGCAGCGAGTGAGGTAGTGTAGTCAAAGTTCATAGGATTTTCACAGAGTGATGGAAAGAGTGGAGCAGTTGCATGGTATTAAATTTGCCCAAAAGCTTAAGAACCAACGCTCTTCAAAATAATATCTGAGATTCTTCAAGATTTTAGCAAAAATGCAACAAGTATAACGAACATTAAGAAGCAGTCACACAAACATTTCAGGATGGCTAGATGTCAGTGGATAAGTTTTCTATAGGCCTTTAAACAAGCTTAAATGATCAAAAAGATCAGTTCAACAAAAAGATCAGTTGTATTGTATTGCAATATCCTAATTGTATACACTGCATATTGAATGAAATTACAATTTTTAAAGTTGACTTACCTATTTCAGAACTATTTCAGTCCCATCTATGCTCAGAATTTTATACTTTTCAGATAAATAAAAATAATTGAACCAGCAATTCTTAATGTAATCCAAGCAAACACAGAAAAATTGAAAATCCACCACCGAAGTTGGGGGGGGGACAACTATGGAACTTTACAATGGGCAAGTAATTGCTTATAACGCTGTTCGTAACATACATTTAATAACAGATGAACTATTTATGACATGCGTAGAATGCCAATGACATCTCATCATTTTACAGAAACATCGTACATTCTTCTTTCTTCTTACACTTCATAAGTTGAATTCGATCAAATCCGGTTAAATCAGCAAAATGTGTGGAATGTAGGAAAATGCTAAACACTGCTTTGATAAGATCAGTATTTATTTACATTTTTTTGCATATCGAATGTAACAAACAGAAAATCAGTCACTGTTCTTTTGATTTTTTGGTGGCTTAATGTTTCCACTCTGGTAAAAGAAAAATCGTCTGCAAAGAGTTTCACAATTGGCGCTTCAGTATGGCAAACGATGTCTCCACAAGTACAGTGGTATGTTTTCCCTTTAAATGCATATTTTGTTTCTCTTTATACACATTTTTTTTAAGATGAAGAAAGGTTATCCTGTAGCTTACAGAGTTGATGCGATAGACAAAAACTGAGATTATTTTTGGATTCAGAGGCCAAAAGTTAGTCAGTAACAAATCACAGATCTAAGAAAACAAAATTGCTGTTCCCCAGTGCAATCATCCCCCCCCAAAGGAAGTCTGTCATTATATAGAGAAGTAGTTGCATCAAAATGTTTTACAAAGATGCAATGAGAAATTGATGATTTAATTTCTAAAAATTTAATAATATAAAATTCTGCACTGTTATAGTAATAAAATTAACTATTCTTAAAAATTAAAAAAATAAGTCAAGAAATAATATGCTTTTAAAATAAACATGGTAAACATTTAAAATTAGAAAAAAAAATATTATAGAAATAAAAAAACTCACTCAACCATCATGCTTAACAGAGTTAAAATTGCTATCTTCTCTTCAATGCTTAGTACTGTTACTTTATCTTCTTTACTTTCTTTAGTAAGTGAAGATTGATTACTGCAGAAGCTTTTCCACAAAATATTGGGGACAGATAGTGGTATTTCCCCAAGTGTCACGAAATGTTTTACCTAATTGAAAAAACATGATAGAACTTCATGGTTCCAGACAAAAGCAAACATTTCTATAATGATTATTTTTACAAAGTAATATTATTTTTGAAAGTAAAATTATTGCTTATTTTTAATGCTTTCAGCACATTTAACTCATGGGATTATTTAGCTTTATATTTGCATACAATTAGAGCAAGGAATATTAATCAACTTCGATTTTGATCAACAGCATTCATTTGAGTACAATTATATTTCTGAAATATGCAGTTGTTCCTATTATTAAGTGATTTACAAATAAACTGGACTCTGAGCAGCTAACACTTCTAATGCACACTTTCTTTTTTCAATGTTTTTTTGACGTTTTCATAACTTTTATTTATGACTGTATCTTTTAATATTTCTGCATCTTTATCCATAGTTACATAAAATGGATTAAATAATTTGCAATTTATCAGGTTTAAATGGAAAGATCTGGGGTTTTTTCATTACATATAGATATTAAATTTTGCTTTATTTCAAGACTTTTAATATTAACAAAACTAAACAACAACAAAAACACCCTTTTTTCTTATACTTGTTCTTAGTTAAATGATCTGAGATTTGAAAATGTCTCAGGAAATTTAATATTTGACCTACTTTATTTTTTTCAATGGGAATTGAAAACTACACACATTCATAGCATTGCAAGATTTGAGATACAGCATCACTACACTGCAATGGCAGTGCAATACATATTTTTTATATATGCACTGCACTGGCATTGCAGCGTAGTGAATTAATTAATAATATTTAATATGCTATCTAAAAAATAATATGCAAGATTGTAAGCAGCATTGCAATTACAACTCAGTATTGATTTCAGTATGAAAACTTCAATTAAAACAGTAAAAACAAAATTGCATGTGCTAAGTAGAACTGAATGATTGAATAAACATAACAATCAGTCACGAAAAGGAAGATTCATACCCTTATTCTAAAGAATATTTCTTACAAGATCTTTATTTCAGATAAATATATGAATCGAGCAATAACTAAACAAACACATTTTTCAAATTGTCACTGAAGATTTAATATGAAGTGCTATCAATATCTGTGTTGTAGATTGGATACACTGTTACTAATATTATTCTGGAATCTACTCTGGTTCAAAACAACTGTCTTTTTGAGCTAATATCAACTAATTCTAAGAAACTTTTAAGGATTGATAACACAAGAAAAAATGTTGAGTACAATCAAATACCTAGCAATTCAGGAATATTATCTATTAGTTGAAGAATTAAGAATTCTTTGTACTTAATACATACAATTTTTTTTTTTTTGTATTTACATTTTTATTTCTTTTATGTAGTATTCATAAGTTATGACATATCTTTTGATATTGGACCTGCTGGGTTTCAGATTTGAAGGCATCACCACAAATCTAAACAATTTTTATAGATGCATTTCATATAACCTGTTAGAAGTTTCTTATTAATTCCTGACAATCCCTAATGGCAGAATAAGTTGTATATATTCTATTACTTGCATTTGGAGCTTCGAAGCAAAAACAAGTATCTATTTGAGTTTTCTAGAGTTATGGCATTTTGAAGTGATGAATGTTTGAAATGAAGTCTGTAAATATCTGAGATATTGTGGTTGTAGAAAACCCAAGATAATATTTCAAAACCGGAAGGTCACGAGAAAACTCCAACAGAAGTTTGTGCTGAATAGTCAGTGAAACACAGTATAGTTTTCTGTTCAATGACTCACTTTCGTGAGGAAAGTTTTAAGCGTAAAAGATGACCGAAGGGCAGGAATACCCAAAACTTGCGCACATAAAGGATATGTGACATTTGTAGTGGTTCAAAAAGGAAGCCCAAAAAGCAATATATGAGAGAATATTATACACTGCAACAATTGTACAAGAATCAGGATATCATACCTTGATAAAAGAAAAATTTGTGCCTGATGCCTCTCATTGCCTGATTCAACTTTGTTGAAATGAAGGTGAAAGATTTCTGTCTTGAATAACCACCATTGGCAAAATATGGATTAGAGACTTTAATGTAGATTTTAAATTGCTTTCAGTCCAGTAAGAAAATTCATTTTCCCTGGGACACCAAAAATTTTTACATACAGAATAAAAGATGAAATAAATGATGATCTCTATCTATGATCAGCAAGAAATCATCACAATGATAGAATTCCATGAGGAAAAAGTGTAACTGCAGCATATGACTGTTAGTAGAGGTGAAACCTGAGCAGAAAAAATGTACAAAATTTATCTGATTTGCTTAGAGACAGGCAATGCATTCTAAATTATAATACACACTCAATAGTGAGAAATATGCAACAGAATTGCTCAAGAATGAATGGGAAATTTTACCTCACCCACCATAAAGTCTATGAATGCATGAATCCCGTACAAAACAATTATTCTCCAAAATTAACGAATCATGGTTTCTGAGACTGTTACTATTCAACAGGCTTAAATGATTAAGTACATAGCAAAGTACATGAGGGTTATCTGCTGCTTAAGGGAAGAGATGTCATTGTGAAAGACTTTTTAAGAAGAACTGATTCACATTCATGCTATCCCATTTGGCAGATCAATGCTCAGCCACTTGTAGGGACCATGGTTAGTGAGAAGCAGGAGCAGTTATACAGAACTGTAAAGCAAAGTCAAAGTTGTCAAATAAAATTAAACCATGGGGATTAGAGTGCATTATTTTTTAAATGGCATTCCTATTTGTTTTTTATACTGTCTGAATGGTCATTAGCTATTTTAAAAATATCATGGCCAAAGCAGTAACTCAAGCAAGAATTATGTGCCTTTTTTTATATTTTTTTTTGCCTTTGTTATTCTGACAACTAGTGCATAATGGACAGTTTGAAAAGGATTATATTATTATACACCTAAAATAATTTAAGAAATTAAATTATTGATTGATAAAGAAGCATGTCATTGTATTTTGATTTCTGCTTCCAAATGTTATATTAAAAAAAAATCAAACTTTTCTTTTTCTGAATGCGAGTTGCATTTAAAAGAACAAAAGGTCACATGTGGCTCATAAGCTACTGTAAAGAGCCAGAAAGTTGCAGTTTGGCCATGTCTAATATACAGTACAAAGTCCGTAATCCAGACTCATCGGGACATTGCCGATTCTGGATTAGGGTTTTTTCCGAATTATAAGATCATCAATTTAAATCTGGTAAGATGGGATGCAGAAATTATACAATTAAAAATATGAAGCCGTAATTTATGAAATAAAGAGCAATTATGATCTAAAGAGTATCAAATTTTACAAAAAAAGCTTAATATTTATTCGTTTACTTTATTAAACATTTCTTTCAATGCGCGCATGCGTAAAGCATAGTCAAAATTAGAAAATTGCAACCAGAAAACTATTTGATGTGTATTCGTGATATTTATGATGAGGAAATTGATTTAAATCATATCAAAGATGGAGTATATCGAGATGAAATACTACACTTAGTAAGGAATTATAAGCCGAATAAAATACAAACATCTGCTCTGAAGATGAGGATAGTGCTGACAGATCGACTTCCAGTTCATTACGCGCTACGATGCTTTCCCCCTTGCAGAGCAGCGTGAAATTGATAAACAGATTTCGGAATGGTTAGAGAAACAAATCATTAAACCAAGCTGTTCTGATTATGCAAGTAATATCGTGCTAAGTAGAAAAAAATGTGGTTCATTTAGACTATGTCTGGACTTAAAAGACACTTAAAACCTGGTGAATCCCTTTCTAAATATTTAATTGCCATGTGTGAAATAGCCAGTCGCAGTTCTGTTGATGATTCATCAATTCTTGATTATGTAATCAATGGGATATCCGATCAGAGTAGTAACAAAATTATTTTGTATGGGTGTAAAACTATTTCTGAATTTTTCTGAATTCAGAAATTTCCAGATAGGAAGAATAAGGGTTATTCAAATACTAACACACAAAATAATGTCCGCACCATATCTAATAAGAGTAAAGAACCAAGATGTTATAACTGTGGAAGTATAGGGCGCATAATGTATGCACATTCTTTACGCACATGCAAAAAATAATTTGTGGCTTTGAGGTCCGGATTATAGATCATTTCTGATAATGGACGTCTAGATTATGGACTTTGTACTGTATAACATAACAATCGTAAGATGATGCCTTTTCCCTTAACATACATTCCTGAGAGCATGTATTTTAAAGACACAACGTAATCTTTTAGAAGCATACTTAGGATCAGCTGGATTCATTGGATAGAGAAGAGAAAACAGTTCTGAAATCCAATGATGGCTTTATTTTGTTCTCCCATTCTTACTGTTGTTTGCAATTCCATACCTTCATTCCATGGTCAGAAATGAATACCCACATGCTTGTCTAATTGCAGTTTAATCTTATAAGACTTACTTGTAAGACTTATGAGATAGGAAAGAACACAGTAAACATAAAAGTAAAAATATTAGAACATTATTATTGATAGAATTGCATTGAAATAGCAATAGGGACTTAATTATTTGATTATGGTAATGCATTCTAAGGCTATCAGTATATAAGGAGGGTTGTCATTATGAAAAACCTTTCTAAAAGAAGCTGGCTTGAATTCACATTACACAATAAATAAATAAACAATAATAGGTACATAATTATGTATCACTTTGTACAGTCCATCATAGATATTAAATTTTATATGAAATTCTTAGATTCATACTTTTGCTTAAGAAATTTTAAAAGTATTTAATTTATTACATTTGTTTAAAAAAGAAAATTTTCTACAAACTGTATAAAGTTTTAAAAATGATAATACTTACAAACTCTTTAATGTTTTGAACGTCATCATTTGTAGCATCCTTAAGCAGAAGAATCAAATTTCCAACAATAATTGTATCTTCTCTGATAAAAATATACAAGTCATTAAAATACTGATTTATAAAGTATTAAACAACAATGATTTAATGATTTGATTACAATGTAAAAGTTTATAGTGAAAAGTTTTAATATAATAATGAAAATTAAGGAACAACTTCAGTATGCATATTTAAAGATGCTTTTTAAATGTTGAATTTTTTACTCTGTGAAACATGATAATTCTTATTTGAAAATAATTATGACAGTTTCTAATAAAATAACATTTAAACTTGAGGTGTTAGAATTCAAAATGAGTTTAACTTCTTAATATGAAAGAGAGGACAATTATTATCAAAATAAACTTAACTATCTAATGCATACAAAATATTTAAATATAATACTTACATACAAATATTTTAATCTCATTTACAAATGCAATATAACATGTTCTTTCCCTAGTTTGCATATTTTTACAAAATTGTTTACTTTTTTGATGTGTTAATATAACAATATTTTACATTAATTTAAAATTCACATAAAAATAACACACCAATTAGATATGCTTAATAGTAAGTAATATTAAACATCAGGAAATGCAGAATGTTTATCAAATAAATAAACATAATAGTAACTTTTAATTTTATAATTATTTGTGAAATATTTAAACACAATATCAATATTTCATATAAATATCCAATGCACAATAAAGTTCTAAAGATTTGAATGCTGTTATTATTAATATGCATTACATTTCAAGCACTTTGTAAGAGGAATTTATGACAGCATAAATAATTAAGAAATCTCTATCAACAGTTTAAGTGATTGTTATACTATGTATGAGCAACTACTAAAAATTATTGATGGCAGAATGATTTGAATGAGTTAGGAATTAGCAGAGATATAAATATAACATAAACAAATACAGATAACTGAAAAACCTATTTAGAACATACTGATTTTATTATAAATATTTATTTTTATATGAGAAATACATTGCAACAAAGCATTTAGTTAATAAATTTAACACAAATCTTATTATCTTTATCTCATCACTTTCCTAAAAGTGCCATATGCAAATAAAAGTACATATCATATATTCTGCCATATAACTCACACTTTTAACACAAAAAATGATATCATAATTTACAGGTGTGCATTATATGCTGGACATAAAAATGATAGATTTCAAAATAAGAAAAAGATGAACATATAAAAATTTGATTTCTGTATGTACCTATATGCTGTTACTAATGATTTTCTAGGACCCAGTGTGCAACACTTTCTTCCAGGGTAGGCCATTTCATTATTCTTTTCTCCAAAGCATATTCATTCTTCGGCATATTAATTATTGTATTTGGCATTTTTCTTCCAGTCACATGTGAAGCTTTCGCCAATACTAATCATCCTTACTGCAGCACAATTTAAACGACATTACATTTAAAACCCACACTATGTTTATTTTGTTTGGTAGGAGCCATATTTACTACTAAAAGGAACCCTAGATCAACTATATTTCAGCTAAAGCAAATGCGATTTACTAAAGCTTTTGATGTTCACTTCAAAATCATGGCCTTAAATAATGACAGAAAGAGGAAAAATCTGACTATTAATTCCGCGAATTCATTCGAGGTGGAAGTACGTTCATATCCCAAATTATTTACCCCTTTTTTCGAAACCACGGAATAACATTCTTGTGCACACCTGCATTGAATAGAACCCATGCTCTTTGCAGAGTTTTCCCTCAAGCATTTTCTCCATCACATACTGTTCCCCTTGTCACTTGTCAATTCAGTATGCCACTGTTCAAAAGCCCGCGAAAAATCTTCGAATGAATGACTTCAGAAGATTGCACATGTATCGTTCAGGTTTCTACCTAACGAAAAGGGTGTGAGTTGCATGGCGAATATACATAAAAATTAAGAAATACAGTTTGAAATTACAGGCGTATATTATATGCCAGAATATACGGTAATTGTTTTCATCCCTACTTATCTTTCTAAGAATTTAGTACTAGCATACAAATTCAAGCTAATACTCCAAATAAACTAAAATCATATTTTTATTATTTTAATACATAAATTAAATAAGTAACTCATATTATACCTCAGTTTTTCTCCATCAGTAAGATACAAACTTCTAAAAGCATTAAGAGCAGCATCTCTAACTGCAGCTTCTTTTGACCAAACAAGATTAAGAATTTCCTTAATTCCAACATTAGTACTTTTCACAGCATTTCCTGCTGCTGCAGCAGTAAAAAATTCAATTGCCTCAAGTATATCTGTTTGTGTTGAAGAGTGCAACAAAGAACACACAGGTTCTATTGTGCCATGGATGACTTCAGCAAAATTTAGTGTTTTCTAGGAAGGGGAAAAAAAAAAAAAAACACTTTAAATTGATATATATGACATAGCTTTTATTTTATATTTTAAGGATAGTTATTTATTACAACAGGTTTGCCACTTAAACAGGAGAATGAAATTCTCTAACTTTTCCAGGTTTTCCAGTTGTGTTTTAAGAAAATTCCAGTCTATTTGAATGGTGCACGTTGGCTGTGCTGAGAGGTAAATTAATTATGGCACCAGTTAAAAACACAAAAATTTACCAATCACATTATGACTTATATATATAATTCCCAAAGCATTACTACACAATATAGTCACGTTAATGTGACCCCCTATCAAAAGCCAGAATAATCACTTTTCACAGAGCATACCGCTACAATACATGCAAGAAGAGAGTCAATTGGGTTTTTGAAGGAGTTCACTGGGATGTTGAGCAGTCCCGACTCCAGTGCAGAGGCCAGCTGCGCTAGGTTACGCGGTTGAGGATCCATGGCACAAACAATTCGATCGAGGTGGTCCCACATATTCTCGATTGGGTTTAAATCTGATGAGTTTGCTGACCAGGAAAAGAGGGTAAACTCATCCTGGTACTCTTCAAACTATGCACGTACACTGCAAGCTGTATGACACTTCGCATTGCCCTGTTGGTAGATGCCATCATTCTGAGGAAAAACAATTCACATGTAGAGGTGAACATGGCCAGCAAGGACAGATACATATTTCTGTTGATCCATCGTGCCTTCCGTAATGATGAGTGCAGCCAGAGAATACCACAAAAACATTACCCAGACCATGATGCTCTCTCCTGCACGGACCCTTCTGGCAATTTTTTCAGGGTGTTTGCTTTAAGACATTTCATGATCTTCTGTCCAATTGAGCATAAAAAGTGATTCATTGAAAAAAGCCCCATGTCACCACACATTGGACATCCAGTTGAGGTACTGGCATGCAAATTTCAGCCTTTGGTGCTGATGAACTGCAGTCAACATAGGTGCTTTATCCAGATGTCTTCTACAGTGGCCCACATGCAGTGACGTCCACAGAACCGTCATTGAGGAGACACTGTTCATAGCTCCTTTGTTCATCTGGGTGGTCAGTTGCTCAACGGTTGCATGTCTATTGACCTGAACACATCTCTGCAGCCATCGTTCAATCAGCTGTCATCAATGGCCTGTGGTGCACCCCATTTGTCCCATCGCTCAGTTTGGATAGTGCTATTTTGCCATGCACAGTATACTTTTACAATGGCGGTATGCGAACAGTTTACAAAATTAGCCATTACAAAAATACTTGCACTCTAGGCTCGAAAGCCAATGATCATGCCCTTTTAGATGTCAGATAAATTGCTTTGTTTCTGCATTATGCAAACGATTGCAATGCTTTTCGATTCTCTCGGACACTGCTTATATACGCTCCACTGTAATGTGCTGCCACCTGCCTTCTGTGATTGGTTATTCCACTTTGACAATAAAAGTAGGTGGTGGTCACATTAATGTGACTGGACTGTGTATTATAACTATAATAAGAGTTGTTTTCTTCCTTGAAGACTGAGATTAAAATCTGTCCAATCTGGATTAAAAAATTTATCTAGCAGAATACATAAGCAAAAAATATGAGCATAAAAAGTATGGTAATTAAATAACTGTAGTAACTGTATCTGTTCCTCATGTGGCTTCCAGTAATTTCAAGATGCAGAAGTTACTAGAGAATTTTTGACGACCCGTTGGGGGGGGGACTATACAAGACTGGACAGAGCATCAGTTCTCAATTGTTGTTTAGATTAGCATGAGTTCAGAGTACTGAGATATCTTCATATCAGCTCTGCTCTTTAGATGCTCTTTGCATTGCATTGTGTAGTTTCTGCGTGTAACATTCTTAGTAGTCTGCAGTGTAACTACTGATTGTTATCTGTGATAGTATGAAGAGCTGTTCAAGTATTTTTGTGGAAAGTTCCAGAACAGCAAAGTGTTTCTTTTGATAAATTAATTTTATCAAACTATCATCAGTTCTGTGTGCATTCAATATAGTACAAATCCGTATGCACACAACAAAAATCTCCCAATTAATTTTATAATTGTTAGATTATACCTTATACTCAAATAATATTAATAGAAAATTTATTATAATTTATGTGAAAAGAGTATTACAGAATAATTTTATCCTAAAATGAAATCAAGCTTTGAATTTTCATTTATAGCCTTCAACAAATAATACAGCATACACATTAAACTAGAGAAATACAAATTATATGCATTATGACAGGAAATATATGAAAACCAGAGGGTTCTTAGTTACACTTCAGACATCTCAACTATAATTTTACTCAGATCATATAATCAATTATTCATTTCAAAAAGAGTACATAAATAAATAGTAATGCTATTATAAATCTCAATTGACTTGAAACACTACATAAAAGCTACTTTGAACGCCTAAGTAAAAATAATTACGTTTTCTACACCTTCTTACATGAAGAATATTCAGATAATTAATTCAGTATATTCAACTCAGAAAATGCCCCTTTTGGAACATACACCTAAATTACACCAATAAATGCACATTTATTAAAAAAAAAAAAAAAAAAAAAAAAAAAAAAAAAAAAAAGATTACAAAAAATCAGAACATAGCTAAAATAAAGTAATATATCCTTTTATACCCTTAAATAATTTACAAGTGCTTGCTGCTTCTTCAGTGCTTCCAAATCTGTTTCAGTTGGTACTTCATTCACACCTTTCATTTCTGTATCTCCTTCTTCTGGAGAAGCAGGGGGCTTTTCTTCATTACTATAAACTTCAGGGGTTTTGTCAGTTTTTTCCTGATCATCATCATCGTCATCAGAATCATCAAAAATTACAACATTTTTTTGTGTTTTCCCCTCTGAAAACAAAATAATTAAATTTAATATGAATGAAATTAAAGATCTGTAAAATATATGAAAAGGTTAATATAATTTTGAGCTACAATAATCTTTATATTATTTTATTTGTTAAAATTTGGCTTTTCTTCAAGCATTCTTTAAACATCAAAGAAAATCAAGAATACCACAAAACTATGTTAATTTTTCAATGAACATGATATTTTCTACAGTAAATATTTTTTTATTATTATTATTAAGAGAGCAGCAATAAAAAATAGGCGAATATTAGATTACTGGACCTATAATTACTGATATAGCAACTATTATGTAACATTTTAAAGCATTATGAACCCTTTGGCCTTGGAGGTTCTCAACCTTCTGAGTGGCACAGTTTTTTGAATCTCTTAAAGACCTATGTTTAAATAACATTTATTAGCTAAATGCGTAAAATTATGTATTTTATTCTCTGTTTTCATAAATTTAAATTCATGAAGATCATATTTATACCATTACAGAAGGAAAGGTAGCAAAATATTTTAAATTATAGGCTAATTTATACCAAATGACCTTAAAAAAAAAAAAAAAAAAAAAAAAAAAAAAAAAAAAAAACGAGAGAGGGAGAGAGAGAGGGTGGATAAAGGGGGTCATGCCATTTAAAGAATTAATGTTATTACAGATAGCTAAATTAGGTCTTCCTACTTTTAGATGTGGTAACTGATATGATTTAAAAGCTGGCTATTGTAACAACAAACTTTGAGTCAAAACACAGATAAATCCATGACTATTATCCACTATGACCATGACTATCTATACAGATAGATTGTGAGTGCTTAAAATCATTTCGGTATTAAAATTGTCTTGAGAGGCTGTGGTAAGGATAATGGTGATAGCAGATTTTCTGGCACATAAAGGTTATGATGATGTGAAAAACACAAGCTCTCTCTCTATATATCTACTACACACAAGTTTAAAAACCAGATCTGATCATCAATATGTCTCACTTTTCTTCATGATTTAAATATTCCTTCCCTCTTTTCTCATTTATTCTTAGCAGCTGTAATTTAAATTTAACTTGTTATGCTTCTTAAATAGGTTCATTCCAATTTGTTTAAGATGCTTAATGGTTAAATTTAAATCAGACGTGCTAAGAATGCAGGAAAATGAATTATTATTTAATAATTTAAATAATGATTTTAATCAATCTTTTTATTAAGTCACTGAATTTAATCAAAATTTTGTGTATTAAAATATAACCCATTTTGCATTGTTTTCTAGCTGTTGAAAAGGGAAAAGTAGAATTTATACATTCTGGCATATATCTAATAATGTGTGTTACTTAAATTTATATGTTAATTGGTAAAATTCTATGTCTAATCCACTATTTGGTGCAACTTGCAAACCCAGTAGAAAACTAAAAATTCAAGCAAAATTTTAACTTCTGTAATGAAGTTATAGGGGTTTAGACAGCTCTAAATTTTGGGCAAGGTGAGAAGTCCATTTGTTGAAGTGGAATTTCTCAAAAAATGCTCATTTTTTGCCATTTTAATTAGTTAAATGTGTGTCACATTTTTAAATGTTTATTTTCATAAAAAAATTTCCTTTATAAAGATTTTTAAATCTAAAATATATTTAATTAAAATTGAAAACTTTTAATTTAACTAATAAAAAATTAAATTTTGTATTTTTGATGCATTATAACATAGAACTTAATCTCTTTTTTACATTTATTTCCCTCATATTCTTCACACTAATACCCTAGTACTCGTATTCTGAATACAAGTGGTAAGTATTGCATCAGTAAATACACTTCCTGATTTTACTAGCTTATAGTTATAGATTAAATACCTCAATAATGCATGAAAAATAAACATTTGCTTAAAAACATTAAAAGAAATTTGAAAAGCTGTTATTCTCAGAAGTTTTTAATCATATATTTTAGGATATATTGAATTTGGATGAATACAGTTCGCAGGGAAGGCTCTGGAGCTTCAGCACTATCCCCAAGTAAAATATTAGAGCAATTTTTGAACTGGAGTTTGCTAACATGAGTTTAGTACACATGAAGCAAATGTTGAAAGATGTGGCAAGAGTTTATTGCAAAAGCATTTATTACAATACCCTTTCGCTTGAAAAGTAAGTAGATGATAGCATGACATCCAACAAAAGAGATCCCAGCCACACCTGCACTGCTATATTTAAAAAGAAATCATGTGGCAATTTTTAGATCACCCTCCCTTATGCCATATAAACTACTCTGTTGGCATAAAATCTACTAATAATTTATGTTATTTTAGCATGTTTAGAGCCTCATGATAATTTTTAAAAATATGCCACAAAATTTCTAATCAGAATAATAAAAAAACAGTGTTTTAATTTTTTTTAAATAAAAGAATATTAAATTAAAAACTACATCATTAACTGCATGTAACTTTAACATTTATTTGTATTGTCTGAATAACCTTTAGAAAAAATACAGGTTTAGTAGCATTTTTTGCAGTTTTAATTTTTAAATATTGACAACCTTGTTCAGTTAATTTTATAATGGATGAAACAAATGAGGGTAATTTTTTTTCAACAATTGATTTCTATCATTTTTAATAAGAATAATTTTCTTTCTGGAGGAAAGTTATGGATTCATTCTCTAGACTTGAAGTTTTCTAATTGGAAGCATTAAAAATTAAAGTGAAATTTCAAGAACACTGTTTTAATTTACGCATTTCCAAACATTATAAACTGCTCTACATTTATTACAATAAGGAGCATCATGTAAACTTACAGTATGTACTGGAAACTTTTGTGCTATAACTACAAATATCCACCACATCTAAATTAATTACATTCACAAAAATTACTGTTATCTAGTAAGTTTTGATTTCCTGCCTAATTCCATAAGCTATATTAAAGTTGATCAGTGTAGTATGATGATTTAATAAATAAATGCTGGAAAATGAAGCGAAATTTGATGCACTTTAGTGGAAATGATTCATACAATTATAGAAGATTTATAGAGCTACAACAGCAATTTTGAGGTGCAGAAAATATTGACAGATTTGAAAATTTGAAATTTCATATAAGAGTGTGACTTATTATAGAAAATTTTATGAATTCATACAGCAATTATTTAATTCCGAAAGAAGTCAAGACCAAGTTAGATTCTCATCTCTTGAATTAAACAATTAATAAAATATATTCATGGCTCAAAATTAAATATACCTTTACTTAATTGTAGCTTGTGAAAACAACTTAAATAGCAGCCTTAGAAAATCAGCACTATATCATATATGCAAGTATTATTAAAAATATCTGCAGACATCATCACCTTCAATATCCTATACAGCAGATTTTCTATTTCAATATTGCAAGAATTCTAGGATGGTCTAACTGCTGCATCAATTTTAAAAAGGATATTTTACATCGGCATTTCTATGCACAGAATTTCCATTATCAATTAGTTAATTGATAGATACAATCTTTTGAGATAAGAATAAAAATTATAATAAGACTGTATGAAATAATAAATTATGTGAAATCAGAAAGTTAAGAAAAAGCAGAATCTGCAGTGCTTATATTATAATCTGCTAAGCTTATATTAATTAGAACATAATTCTTTCTTCTAGTTCCTAGCTAAGCCAATAAAAGGAAACCAGTATGCACAACATTCCACTTTAAACCAGTGGTCTTTGAGATTCACTTATTGCGTACAGGATTATATAAGAGAAAAATGTTGTCATTCACTAATCATTTTAGAGTTGATATTGTAAGTTTTTTAAAGTCAAAACAATATGCAGAATGATTCAGTATCATTACAGATAATGATTTTTTTTGGGGGGGGGAAGAAAAAAGAAAGGTTAATCAGAACAAAAATTGATTTCTGGCACACTAGTTTTTGCTTGAAAAATCATATTTATTCCTAGACTTTGTGAGAGAAAAAAGTTTATAGGAGGTCTGGATAACAGATCATTTCAGTTATTGGATTCTGGACTTTGTGTTGTATCAAATATATCTGCTTGCAAGGAGACAGATCATCAGCATAATGTCAAAGCCACAACATGCATTCTTTGCAGTTTTCATTTACATGCACAGTCTAGACCAGGGGTTCCCAACCCTATGCCTACAGACACCATGGCATATGGCGATCTTTTAACGTGTGCTCACAATAAAAATGTTCAATGTTTTCAAAAAATTATATGCAAAAGTTTTCTCATTTTTAATGAAATAGAAATTGCGTCCAACACAGATACCAGCAGAAAGTGAAATGCGATGGATTTCTTTTCTAATATGCTTGTGTTATTAACTCTATACAACTATAAATTTATCTTGAAAAAATAAATGGTGCCCGCCATCCAACAGATAATCTAGAATATGCTCTTAGAGACAAAAAGGTTGTGAGCCCCTGGCTTATGCTATTCTTCAGTGTTTCATATTATGCTAACACAGACTATGTATATAAAAAATTATTGCATTGAAATCATAACATTGTCTCGAAACAAAACATATGAAACTTTAAATGCAACCAAGATCTTGCAGATTTGAAATTTAATGCCATTTTGATCATATATGTGAAAATGTTAAAAATAAGTGTCATTCTGGAAAACTTAAATTGATAACAGATGTAAATATCTATAATGAACAAACATGCTGCATGTTAACTAAACATATGTAAAGAGATATATTTCATTTTGAACTATTATTAGATATACAGGTACAATTTTACAGTATGCAAAACAATTCTATATGCAGCAATCAAAGCATGCAATTAAAATTATGCAAAAAGTCAACCTTAGATTGGCATCAAATTCAAAATCTTAGATTTTGCATAAAACTTTAGAAATTTTGAGTGTGATTTGGCATAGGTCTTCCTTCTTCAGGAGGAGGCGGGAGATGCGAAAGTAGGAGAAGCAACAACAAATAATATATATAGGTGGTGGGTTTCAAAGACAAAGTTAACACAGTGCCAAAAACAAATAATTTTTACAGAATGGGAAAAAAAAAAAAAAAAAATTGAGAAAACAACCCTTTTGTTTCTTTAATTGATGAATTGAATGCCTTAAAATCTGTCACATTCATAACACTAACCTTTAGTAATTTACATAAATTCCAGTTGAATTCTTACCAATGTTTTTAAAAATTATAATAAATTAGCTTTTTCACATTTCATTATTGTTTTCCTCAGCAAATGGTGTTACATTATTTCCCATGCCATTTAGATATACGACACTGCTTGTGTTCTAGTAGTCAGTGGCAGTGAGATGTCAAGCATGCAAGATGTGGAAGGCTGAGAAAATGTAAAAATATATCCTTAATTATGTAATTATTCTTATACCTGTTGTTAATAATTTTTTTAATGTTATTGCAGGTCATTTTTGCACCATTAGTCACAATTAATCATGATATGAAATATACATGGTGGTATATATTTTTTCTTTTCTATACTCTATTAATTGCCCATCCTCCCATTTTTGCAAGGCTCATTCCCTGAACATGAGGGATACATTTTCGGATAACTCTCAAAATGAATAGAAATTTATTCAAACTCTATGACAATCTAAGGCTGTTTTACTGTTAAAATTTAATTTTTACATTGCTATGTTTTTCTTCTAGTTAGAATATAATATTAATATATTATAAAAAAAAAAGCTTTTGTAAAGTTAATCAACAATGTTTGTTTCTGTCAAGTATACTTAAAAAATAGTATTTTTACCAAAATTTTCATCATCAGAATCATCAAAAATGACAGGTTCCATTGGTTGCATTTCTTTTAGCTTTTTAAATTCAGTTTCAAAACTTTCCTTCAGTACAGGCAAAGGAATCTAAATACAATTGCATTATGTTAGTTAAAAATATCTCACAATTAATCAGGAAAAATATAAACTGGTAATGTGTTAAATACACGTTGAAATATGAAATAAGAGAAAAATTAAACAACAGCTAGGTTTCAAATAAATAAAAACGATGTTGAAAAATTTTAAATTTCTAAAACATTAATGAAACTGACAATACACTTTATGGCTTTATTTTCAAAACATCAGTTTTAAATTTTCTTACATACATCAATCGACATTAATCTAGTTTAGTATATAAAATTAGCATAATTGTACTGGTATTATAATTAAATTTAATGTGGAAATTAATAATGAAAATAATGAATAAGGTTATAATTTCTACTTTGGCTTTGAGAACCTTAATAATTATTTCTTGAGTAAAGCAGAGGATTTTTGCTGATAGATAAAGAGGGGGATTTCAATTTTCTATTTTGAAATACTACTGTCAGATAATATACTGACTGATGTAGTTCAAAATTAAAAATTCTTATTAAAATACTCATACCAGGCAAGCAAACTGGTTTATATTTATAAACTGGGCTAAAAATGCCATTGCATTTTTTCTGACGTTGCTGGCTTTATCTTGCAATCGGCGACATATAAGCTGTGCAACATTATACAATTCTATAGAAGCCAATGCTTCCCTTTCCAAAAGCATCTTCAAAACTTGAATGGCCTTTGATCTGACAAAAGAATTTGTATCCAGTAAGCGTGCCTACAAAATAATAATAAAAAAAATAAATAAATAAAGGAAAACTATGTTTATAACATAATTTATCAATATTCTTTCAATTAAAAACTATAAAGATAAACATATTATTAAAGTCGTATAAAATATTAAAAATGAAAAAAATTGAGGGTTTACAACATAATGATTGTTGATTATTTAATATATGCCAATACACTGCAAACAATCTATTGGTGCCTTTTGGAAATCTGATCCTTTGATTTCCAGATGTTGTTTGGCATTTGATTCCAAATGGCATGAAACAGATTCTTACTCTCTGCAGCTTGTATCTACATCCATATGAACTCTGATAAGTAAAAAGACAAGTGATGACCACAATGTTGCTTATCTCTCCATATTAGATGTTCCAGAGTTTGAGCCCCTATACCATACTCAAGATAAAAAGATATATATTTTTTTAAGAATTCATTCTCATTTTCTTCTTAACCCCCTCTCTCTGGGGGGGGGTTAGAGAGAATTAACAAAAAAGGGGGGGAGGGGGGACATAAAAATAAAAATTTCATCTTACTAGGGTTGCCAAATGATTCCTACTCTCAAGTATCAGAGGAGGTATTTTTAACAATGTGTACAAGATACAGGATAACTAACAAGTGCCCACAAAATTTCATAGAAATATTATTCATTTGAAATTTAAACAGATTTTTTTTAATAAAAAAAGTGTTGTGATATTGGATGAATTAACTATACTGATGCAGTATATTGGGAAAAAGCAGAACATATAACTATAAATTAAATATTAACTACTAACAAAAAATTATCAAAATTTTATCCTCCCCTCCCCCAATAGAGAGAGAGAAAGGGGGATCCAAGTTTAGTTCCATTGCTGATGGTCATTTAATCACATAGGACACAGTTCACAGCGTATTACAGAGAGCAACTAACATTGAACTCACAGGAAGAGGAAAACCAATCCCTAGACATTCTAGTCTCACACAAGAATCATTATATTTACACACACAGCAGGAATCATACATTGTCTTTGGTTTGGACAGACAATCAGCCTCTATTAATCTATACATGGTCTATGCTTTATTAATCTATACTGTACTATACAGGGTAGCAGTTTATCAAAACAGATGCATAAAAAAGTGTTTCAGGCAGTGTTTGGCTATCTCCATGACATTTTTTTGGTGATAAAAGGAAAATGAACACTAAAACGAAAGAGAAAATTAGCATTTGCCCCCAAAACTCCAAAGAAACTGTGTTTTAATTAAAAAATGCAAATATAAATTAAAAGAAGGTAAATACTTGCAGTAAAGTTTTTACATTATCGTTTTTAACCATGTTTAAATCAGTGTGATATGACACATACAACTCGATAAATTCATGACAATCTTACTATAACATATCTATTCCCTGTTAAAATTATGAACATATTTTTCATTTTGTCACAGGCTTGTTCTGTATTTTTAGCCATCAATATATATATACCAACTTCATGAGAATAGAATTTAATTTTTTTTAAAGTATAAAATAGATTTTTCAGAGAACATTACTGCATATCTGAATGTTTTAAAAAAGAATTTCATAAGGAAAAACCCTTATTACAAGAAATATATTTTAACTTAACTGCATTACCTTTCCTGTTTCTGCTACAAAATTAATCAGAAATTCAGCTTCATAAAATTTAGCATGTTCTTTATTTCTCAGAATCAAGACATTCATATAGTTTGTTAAAATGAAAGCTAAAGACACTTTAAAAAATCCTAATAAAATTTGCAAGCCTATGAATGAAAAATTTTGTCTATAAATTGGTCTTAAAATGACCAATATGTTGATAAATCACCAAATTTGCTGAAAAGTTGAAAAACTAATTAGAAATGGGGAACAATGACTAGTCAGCAGATACTCAAAATAGCAAGGATGGGTCATCCAGAGAAATAATTTAGCAGCTAATGTAACGGAAGACAGGCAATTACTTTAAAGCAGAAAAGGAAATGACAGTTACATCATAGTCTGCTTTAAAGGAAATAATTTGTCCAGTATGGTAGTTACACTGCCAATTTGAGGAATTCATTTTCTTTCAGTGAAAATTACTTATTTAAGAACAGTATAAAATCAAGATTTATTCTGACTTGATTTAATTAGGAATTCTTTCATTTAATTACAGTTCAAATTTTAAATTAGTTTACAAACTTAACATGCTTATTAATTATTATTAAATTTTCTTTATAATTCTTTATAAATTATATTAATTATATTATTTATATATTAAAATGTCTTTATAATTCTATATATTCTTTGAGAACAAATCCAATGGAAATAATCTAAGAAGAGATCCAATGAAAATTTGCTTTTAGGTTTTTTTGTCATTAAGAAAGCATAAAACAAAATTAATTTTTGACCTGCGAACAAAAAATTTCAGTACAAAAGAAATTATACAAAAATTCTGAAGTTAAATATCTTAGCCATTACAAACAAAAAATGTTAATGTCTTAAGGTTATATAACTTAGCCAAATGCTTAAGTTAGCATTTAAAATGTATAAATTAACTAAATGCATAAGTTAACAGTTAAAATATTGCCCAACTATGAAATATTCATTGTAATGCACTCCTCTTATAAATAGTTAAAAACATTAGCAACCTTAAGTGCACTTTCTTCCCAACTTAAAAAAGAAACATTTCTATGAATAACTTAAAGAGCTCTGTAATTCAAAAATCTAATGACCAACTTTTTAAAAACCACAGAAAATAAATATCATTTTGGACTTAAAACTGATGAAGAATATATATGCATTTTGAAAATGATTTTGTATTTCAAATGCTAGTTATCAAAATATGTTTATTGACATAAAAAATTTAATTCTTAGACAAAAAATAATATTTACATCTAAATTTGAATACTTACTTATGAATATAATATTACAAATGATCCAATTAGCCTCCAAAAAAACCCAGATTAAAAATTATTTAATTTTAAATAACACTTCTGCGATAAATTTGCGTTCAAGTGTTCAAACAACAGTAATTATAATAAATAATTCAATATTTACCTCTACATGTTCTAAAAGTTCTTCCCTTAGTTTCTGTTCTTTTTTGGAAATATTTTCATTAGCTAAAGTTGAACTAAGAATTACTCCTATCATAGATAGAGCACAGTTTCTCATAACGTGAGACTAGAACACAAAAAGAATTATCAGCACACATTAATTAAAAATAGATATAAAAACTGGTTCTTAAAATTCAGTAATGAACATGAAGTTTGCATAAGTAATTTTTAACTACACATGTATTTCTTTTTATATACAGGTTAAAGTTCATAAACCAAAATTGAAGGCATTGGGGAGGAAAGAATCAATTAAAAATTCACCTTATCAGTAAGCAATACTCCATTCCACTTGCTAAAAGTAAAGTAATTGAAGTTCTAAATTTGTGCAGACTTATTTTTTACATAATAAGTACACCTAATAATATAATATCAGTTTGTTCATTGGAAAAGAAACATAACAATTTTGGTTAAAATTCCATAATCGGAGTGAGCGCCAAGCTTGGCGAGAGTTTTTTATTTGGCGCGATTTTAATTTGGTTGTGGTTTAGGGCTGTATGTTTTCTTGTGGGAAACCTAGAGCTTTATTTCGGTAACTGTAAGAGCGTGAATTTAGTGTAGCCAGATTTTTTTAAAATTTAATTTTGAAATACTGTGTTTGTTTTTAAAAGTTTTACTGTTTAATATTATTGTTATATATATGTTATTTGCAGAAGGTTAAGCTGTTGTTGGTGGGAGAATGTTGGATTTCACATGGCATGAAGTCTATAATTTATGAATATTTTCATTTAATTTTACTTAGTTAATTTTTTTTAGTTTGTTTCTTGCACAGGGCAGTCGAAAGATGTGGAATATTTAAAGCTTATGAACGGAAGTTGTTTAGTGTGTTGAATTCCACGACAATAGTAACCTGAATATTTTAGTGAGTCTATGATAGTCACAGACAGAATACGCATAATTTGCTATTCTTTTTACATTTAAAACTGACTTTGCAGTGCTCTGATCTGATAAGTGCATACATTTATTTATTCAATAATTATTTACAAGAATTGTTTATTCTACTATTTTATGATGAATTACATATATATAGAAAACTATGCTTTTACTTGCAAAGCTGTTGGACTTTGTTTTACTCATCTAGTATTTTATCATCTCATTTTACTATTCTGTTTACGTAAAATAACGGCATTTCACTACTGCAAAACTTAAAAGTTACTATTCTGTTTACGTTTAAAAATCAATTTTAGTGCTTTCATTTAGTGCGCCTAAAAAATTCGCCAAATTTTGAAGGCCAAAATAGTTTGGGGCCAACTTACCCCGCTTATGGAATTTTAGCCACAATGTTAAATTGAAAACTAGGCAAAAATGCAACATTAGACTACCATAGATTTTAAATTAAACTCTATCAACTTAGAGTACTTTTACATAGGTCCAATTTACATAAGCACCACAGCTATTAGTCTTAAAACTCAATTTTTTGTTGATATCACTTTTCAAATGTTATTGCCATATATCATTTTTGAAGAAATAATACAGCGAATATTAAAAAAAAAAAAAAAAAAAAAAAAAAAAAACTGGCACAACAAATAAAAGAACGTTGGAACGAGATGTTATCTCTATGTATTATTAATATAGTGAATATTAAAAAAAATGTATGGGAACTCAAGAAAGAGAATGTTGCCACCAAATGCTAGCACCATATACTACTTTTAAAGTAAAAATATAGCGAAAAATATATGGCAACATTTAACATTTTAATCTAAATGTACTCCACATAAAATATTAACTTCCACATGCCAGTTTGTTGCCATTTGGAAAAGTGTAAGATATTTAATTTTTGTGGCATAAGTAAGACATTGTACCAGGACTTCTTAAAATATGCTGTTTTTAAAAATTTTATGATTTTGCTTTTCAATTTTATGTGGCATAAGTAATGAAGAAGAAAAGGATGTATCAACAGAAATGAGTCCAAAAGCAGATATATAAACTTGCAAGCTTAATGAAAGCATAAAAAACCTTAATAAACCATCCAGTGCAACATTAAAATCTCAATCTTTCAGATTTAATTTTTTTTTAAAGCAGAAATTTTTTTGCTAGGATAAGTAGGGCAAACGACATAAAGAAATCAATAACTTGAGTTATCCTGACATATGGCAAACCAGACTGAAGAAATTCAATAAATTCCCCAAGAACTTAGAGACAAGATCTTTAAACCTTCCTCCCCCCTCCCTCCCAAAAAATATCAAAGACAAGCAAATGATATAAAAGTTGAACTTATAGAGAATCCAAGCAATTTTGTAGCTGATTAGACTATAAAATGGGATAACAATAGTGTTATTATAGATATTTCTAAAAGAAAAATGTATTTTATAATTGTAAGAGAAAAATTTTTTTTGAAACTATATATGTAACCATGAGAGAAAATCCTTTGTCATTGGTAACCAATTTCAAATAATTTGAGTTTTTGATAAACAAAAATTCTAAATAATAGACCTTCAGAGCACATTAAACATAGGGGGGGGGGTAACAAGCTCCCTTTTTTTGTCTAACAGGATGACATAATTTAGCATAAAAAGGCAAGTAAATAAAAATAAATAAAAGATTTATAGCAAATAGCAATATTGAAGTCAGATTTATTGTGGATAATTAGAATGTCAAAGAAAGAAAGCAAGTTGCATGTTTCAACTTCAGCAGTGAACTGAATGGCTCTCAATCAAATTCATAACAGATAAAATTTTTTAAACCTTTTTATTAAAAGGCATGAAAGAGTCCTCACAGCAAATACAGAACAGAAAAACAATTTTTCAGGAGTAACTAGAACTGATCACTCAATTTGAAAATAGTAATTATTTTGAAAGACAGATTTTTATTAACCCTCTACATACTTACAATTTATTTCTAAAAATTACTAAAATGTAGTTGAAATGTAATTTATTTGCTTAGATAATTCCTTTTCCTTTTAGTCTTAACAAATAAATCAAAATAATCTTAAATTCTGATGAAATTTTTATTTTATTTATTTATTATTATTATTTTGTACACATCAATGGCCCCCAGCTGGAGATTAACTTTAAGCTAGTTTTCTTTTGTTCTTTAAGACAGAATTTATGTAAAAAAAAAAAAAAAAAAAAAAAAAAAAAAAAAAATGTGTATGGAGTTGGTTGAAACACTCTTAAATTACTAAAGAAAAATATAGGTTCATGGCAGAATTTGAAAGAAAATTGGATATATACACCAAAGAGCCAGTATATGACCACCCTTTATGATAACAATAGCTTGCCCATAAACAAAACCACTTACGTGGCTTATTTGAGTGTAAAAGTGTTATTTCATTTCCTTCCAACATACACGCTAGCAATAATGGAAAAGCAACTAATTTATCAACTTCGATAAAATAATCGTATGGCTCGGCGACTGGGAACTCATATCATAAAGGCGCGTTTAATTGGTGTTTTGTTCAGTTTTGGTGAGGCATGTCAAAGTGGTGCATGGATGGTGAAACGATAAGTCACCATCCAGCAGTGTGTCTTTGACGGCGCATTGATTCCAGAGGAAAACAGAGATTGTTATGCATTGTTCACCATGACTGAAGAGCTATAAGAGCCGAAATCCCCCACCCCCCAGGTACAACAGTGACGACCCAGACAGTGTTTCACAACACACTGTGCAGCATACATTGCTGCATCTGCAATGGGCCTATGCAGGCAGAGGCTGAAGCATGTCCCTACACTGATGGCACATCATCGCCAGCTGCATCTGCAATTCTGCAATGGGTAAAGAAACATTGGAATTGGACACTAGAAGAATGGAAGAAAGTTGCATGGTCCGATGAATCACATTTTTTGGTCCATCACATCGACGGGCGTGTGCTAATATGTCAAATTCCAAATGAAACTCTGGCTCCTGGATGCACAGTTGGACGGACACAAGCCGATGACGAGGTTATTATGGTGTGGACAATGTTCTGGTGGAGCACATTAAGACCCATAATCCCCATAAACAATCCCTGACACCTGTGCGCAACGTGAACATTATTGCAGACCAGGTTCATCCATTCATGACAACAGTATTTCCGGCGGGGATGGTGTTTACTAACAGGATAATGCACCACGTCATTAGGATCGAATTGTCAGGGAGTGGTTCAAGGAACATTCTAGTGACTTTCAAGTCATGTCTTGGTCTCCAAATTGGCATTTGTGTTCCTACCTGGAAAATCAAATTCGTGCTGCCATGCTACACCCCTCACAATGTGCAGGAATTGCAGGACTAGTTGGTGAGTGTTTGTACCAAATACTTCAGACTACCAATCAGCACATTGTGGAGTCAATGCCATGCCAGTTGCTGGCAGTTTTGAGGGCTAAAGGTGGTTCCTTCCTTAACAGGGTGGTCATAATGTCATGGCCCTTCGGTGTATATATATCACATATGAAAAGCCATCTGAATCAAGGTTGGGTAGATATGTAATACATTACAAAAAGCAGACAAGAATTATCAGCTGATATGAAAGACTATAAGTGGATGAACATGCAGAAGCTACAAATTCATATTTGCCTTATATATGGTTGCCAACATTATGAGAGTAGAATCCAAATATAATTGAAAAAATTTCATAAAAAAAGTGTAAAGGAGCTTTAAAGAGAAAACACACATATTTGAATATTTTGACATCATGACATGACACAGATTTATCACAAAAAAAAAAAAAAAAAAAAAAAAAAAAAAGAATTTATTTCAAGTATTTACATTAGGCTTTTCTGCTTTTTTCCCCCCTTTCCAAAGGCACTTTGGAAATGGTTTTTTATAAAATTTATAATGTTTCTAACTACTTCGTCTACACTGAACTTAAACCTGTTGAACTGTGTAGCAACTTATTGCTGAGTTCAAGCATTTAATGACAAAGTCCAGAGAAGAGTCCAAAGTCCTTTTTATTCATTCAAATAAATAATAACAGATGGCCCCTTCTCGGGCTTATAGGAAAACTTCCACTCCGGCTTTAAATCAAGATAAGAAAATAGAAAACTAATTTAATACTAAACTGACTTAGTTGAAGGTAGACACAATTACCTAACGTAATTAGTTGAAGCTAGACACAATTACCTAACATAATTAGTTGAAGCTAGACACAATTACCTAATGTAACGTCTAGTTGTTTCTTAATTAAATTAGCCTGCGATTATCAACAGACCTGTACAATACGGCCGAGTGTAGTTGGCTTAATACTGAAGTAGCCTGATGACAAACATGTACCACTAAGGACTTCTAAGCTCTCCTACTGAATTAAGCTGAACCTTCCATTAACACTCTTTCTACCTCATCTACATGCAACACAATATTAAAAACTCTTTCTGGTAGGGAGTTGTAAGTGGAAAGCAAGAATTTAAAGGAAAGGTTTTCAAAATTAAAAATAATTGTTATAAAATCAAAATAAACTTTACACATTTATTATTTTGTTTAAATTTTAGAATCAAAATATTGAAAAATTACAAAAATGAAAGGAAAATACAGTCTTAAACATGATAAAATTAAACAAAATATTTAATTTTAATGTTATTTTTTAAAAAAATTAATACATTATTGTTATTTAAATGATATCATAACATTATTATATTTGATAAAACATTATTGAAATTTGCAATCATTAAGTCATATTTTTTGTACATAAACTGGCCTTAAAATTGGCAAAATATTGATAGTCAAAATTTGTAGCTAACATACACATAAAAAAAGCTTTCATATTTTACATTATGCCCAGACGGACTTTTTTTAACCTTTTGTGTGTTACCTTTATTTACTGAATGTTCTTTGCACTTAACCCTCTGAGTGTTATGACCGACTTTATCCGGTCATCATAAATTTTGCTACTTGCCATATATTAGCTTATAATTAAAGATATTTTGCTTTCTTACTTTCTTTAATAATGTAAATATCATCTTAATGAATGTAAGTTTATGGAAATACAGACTAAAATAAGTAATTATACAATTCATTAATAAATGCTATTTAAATACCGGTCTTCATGACGGATCTAAAATCCTGCACCACTCAGACGGTTAAACCATAAAATTCATTTCAACAGCAATATCATAACATAATTTTAAAGCTCTTATCTTTAGAATATAGAGCATATCTTTAGAATTTCCGATACACAGTGTTGCGTGCTGGAGATATAAATTAACCCCTCCTGCAGTTGCTGGCTTTGAATTGAGTTTGTTAATCAAAAATCCATTAAAGAGTTACAAAATATGAAATCGATAATAAAACAAATTTCAAATTCCAAATTCGGGGTTTCAGAATTCATATTCAGTGGAAGATTACGCTATTCAAAATTTGATGGCTCCAGATACTGTTGTTTTATCCCAATGCGAGAAACATATATACATTTATGCAGATTCATCATTATTTAATTTCTTTAATTATATCACAAGGTAGTATATGCGGTGGTAGCAATATGAAAAGTGAACCAACATTTAGAGTTTTCAACACAAAATGCCAAAACAAAATTAATAGCCCTTCTGGGATAACGCCCTTTGGGGTTATTAAAAAAAAACTTGTTTTTTCCATAATAAAAAGAATGATTTCAAATGAAAACACAAATATCTATCAAGATTAGGTCTTTAAATATACAGCAGAATTAATAAAAAGAATTTCACGCATAAGGATCGTAATACAGGTGAATTTCACAAAAATTATAGAAAATTCTCAAAAACCGATAGATATGCTTATAGATACAAAAATCAATAAAACTACCCATATAAGTAACTATAACTATCCACATAAGCAGATTGTTTCATTTCTGGGAACTGAACACAGAAAAAAAGAATCTGCATTTAGTTAGCTTACCTACTAGACAGATAATTTAAAATAATTTTTATATATTATTCAAAAATGAAGGTAATCGAAAGTAGTTATTAAAAAATAAATATAAGAAGATAAATATAAGAAATAAAATATAAAATATAAGAAACTTTTCCAAAGGCATTCATGAAACAATCCAGGTTACACATTCACTGCTTTTTTTAATTGTTATAATAATGTCAGTGAAAATATATTACGTTAAGATAATAAGCTTTCCAACAAATAAAACTCTTGCTTTACACTTTAATCAGTGCAGATTAACTTATTCAAGATTAACACATAAAAGTGTTTTAATATATGCTAGTGAAGTGGAACTTATTATTTTTTAAAAAAACAATACTTGTTATACCTTAGCAATAACTTAACAGATTAAAAAATATTTGGCTTATATATAGCACAAACTGCTTTGCCATTAATGTTTATTTGTTGAATATAGTAAGCCAATGTATTTGTCATAGCTGCCTAAATTAATTTAATAACTTTTTAAAAAAGATATGTGCAGTACTATACTTTTTTACAATATTTAAACTAATGAAAAATAAATAAATAAAAACTCATAAATAAATTAACAACTTCATTATATTTTTTTTTTTTAATCTAGAAAGAGGAAGTCATTTGAATATCCAAAATCTAAGTAATTAGAAATTTACAATATATAAATCTTTATGCAGATTACAACTCTGAATCAACAATTTACCTCCCATTCAAGAAGTTGCAGCAGGGAACCTATGACATTTATGACATTCTCAGGGCATTCTTCAGCTACTGAAACTAAAAAGTGAGATAAGGAATGGGCTGCTGTAAGGTTCTGAGAAAAAAGTTTTCCATCAAGCAATGCTGTTTCTCTAGGGAAAGGAAGGGGGGAAATTTTTTTTAATAGTTTATGAAAAATTACATTGAAATAAAAGGAAATACACTATATACATAAGTATGGTTTTTTAAATAAGAAAATACATATGTAAGAGCATAATTTTATTTTTAACTGTTAAAATAAACAGAAATTTTTGTTTCTTTCAGTCTTAAAATTATGTTTTCATATAATACAAATTTCATTCCTAACATGACTACATTAAAAATCCTAAAAATTATACTTTTATTAAAATACAAATTTTACAAAATTATTCACACTCACACACTTACTCCTAGGATATAAATTAATAATTCAGGATAAATGATTAAGTTTTGAAGCAAAGAGCATTAAATTAATATTTATAAAAAAATAGCATTTCACTCATGAATGTAATAATAAAGAAAATATATTGAATAATTAGGTATTATCAGTATTAGTAACTGAAGATTAAGAGCAATTAATCTATGCAAAGTTTATCAGACTACATAGAAATGCTGCCTCAAAATAATATCAAAGTTTATTTGGTTCTGGGGAAGGATAATAAAAACTAAGTTATGCTACTTCGTTATATATTGAAAATAAATGTAGTTAAGTGAAATAACAGCTTTTTATTAAAACAAAAGAAAATTCAAAAACTATATTTTTGAATTAAAATTTTATTTCTGTATTTTGTTGAAGAATACTCATCAGATAAGTGAACCTCGATACAATTAAGTATTTTTGTATATTTTTATATAACTGATTACATTACTGTGACATTTTAATAGAAGAAAACTCTTTTATAAGTGGCACAAAAGCTACTATTTTGTTTCTACCCTTTAACTTAAATAGAATAAATTTCTCATAAAGCAGATATTTATATGAAAAATTTAAATATTCTTTATAACAATGCTTTATTTAATTTCCACAGCTATCAAATTAAAGATATCTTAAATTTGATAGCTATGGACAAAGCTGTGGTCCTCAATTTCCTTTCAAGAAAAGCTCTCCAAGGAGGGAAGCATTGTAGGTTTCCTAATTCAAAAGAATTCAGTTACAAAATACATTTATTATTTTACACACATGTACATTGTTGACCGACATCTTTTTTGTGAGCTCACGCAAAAGTGATTAAACTTTTAAAAGAGTTATGTTAAAAAGAATTTTTGAAAAAATTTTAAAATTTTTATTTTGTACAATGATGATGGTATAATGTCTTCAGTGATGAGATGGTGAAATCTTCAATGAGTCTGACCACCCAGTTGGTAAATGCCGAACTGGTAAGTGCCTGATCATTGAAGAAAAAAATTTCCAAAATAAAAATAATGGTATCTCGTATAAAAAATGCATATGCAGAGCAGTACAGCATTATAAACACAAGATCCACATTAAAATCTACACAAAATGATTAGGAAGTTAAACCTGAACCTAAATTTAATTTACTTTCTATTTAGGTGGCAAAAAAATATAGAAAATGTGCCAATGTATAAGCAAATACAAAAGCAGAGGAGTGGGTGTAAAAATAAATTTCTTAACACTAAATTACCAATACAAAATTATACACTCTTCTTGTGTAGGAACATGAAAAACCCAGATGAAAGTTTCTTTTGACAAGCAGGAGATGAATACAAACAGTTTATGCCTACTGCAACTATCAGTGACCTTTTGAAGTAGTGAAAAATTATTACCAAGTGATGACCAAGGTCTAGATCAGGGATGATGAAAACTTTTTTCAGCTATTGTGTCAGTTAAATTACAGTTTATTATTTCTAATGTGCCACTTATTATCTTCTTTTTAAAAATTAACTTTAAAGCCCTGCTTTGATTTCAAACTATTGAATCATAATTTGTAACTATATTTCTTGTTTAGTTATCAACTTACATCAAAGGTAAATTGAATAAATAGTATTTAAAAAATATTTTAGTTGAATATTAAGATAATGTAAAATATCTTAAAGCAGACACCCTTTATTGTCAGCAAAAAAATAAAATAAAGGTAATTAACTTTAGATGTTTTTAATTTTTATAGTATGAAAAATTAGATGTACCAATACAATCAAAATATGTTATTAATTGCTTTATTTTTTCACTTAAAAATGGTGTCCTCTTTAAGATGCTTCACTTAATATACTTATCAAAATACATTCATTTGATAGTATACATAAATAACTACATGCATTTAATCCCATTTAGTGTTATATCTGTTGCTAAACCTTATTTATATTTGGGTCATAATATGTTGTCTTTAATACACAACAGACATAAGCACACACAAGATTCACTTAACCTTTTGAGGACGGGATGGCCGTTATAATGGCCATGTCTTTTCCCCCCATTTTCCAGGCTGAAAAGTGAGGTGAAATGTCAAATTTG